CTTATGACTGGTACTGTAAGTATTCAGACCCTTTACTCAGTACTTTGTTGAAGCACCTTTGACATCAATTAAAGCCTTGAGTCTTCTTGGGTATGACGCTACAAGCTTGGCACACCTGTATTTGGGGAGTTTCTCCCATTCTTCTCTGTAGATCGTCTCAAGCTCTGTCAGGTTGGATGGGGAGCGTTGCTGCACAGCTATTTTCAGGTCTCTCCAGAGATGTTTGATCGGGCTCTGGCTGGGCCACTCAAGGACATTCAGAGACTTGTCACGAAGCCACTCCTGCGTTGTCTTGGCTGTCTGGTTAGGGTCGTTGTCCCATTGGAAGGTGAACCTTCGCCCCAGTCTGAGGTCCTGAGTGCTCCAGAGCAGGTTTTCATCAAGGATCTTTCTGTACTTGGCTCCGTTCATATTTCCCTCGATCCTGACTAGTCTCCCAGTCGCTGCCGCTGAAAAACTTATCCACAGCATGATGATGCCACCACCATGCTTCACCGTAGGGATGGTGCCTGGTTTCCTCCAGATGTGACGCTTGGCATTCAGGCCAAAGAGTTTAATCTTGGTTTCATCATACCAGATAATCTTGTTTCTCATGGTCAGAGTCCTTTAGGTGCCTCTTGGCAAACTCCAAGCAGGCTGTCGTGCCTTTTACTGAGGAGTGGCTTCTGTCTGGCCACTCTACCATAAAGGCCTGATTGGTGGATTGCTGCAGAGATGGTTGTCCTTCTAGAAGGTTCTCCCATCTCCACAGAGGAACTCTGGATCTTCTATAGACAGGTGTGTGCCTTTCCAAATCATGTCCAATCATTTGAATTTACCACAGGTGTACTCCAATCAAGTTGTAGAAACATCTCAAGGATGATCTATGGAAACAGGATGCACCTGAGCTCAATGTCGAGTCTCATGTCAAAGGGTCTGAATACTTATGTAAATATGGTATTTCTGGGGGGTTTTTTAAATCCATTTTCCGACATTTCTAAAAACCTATTTTCGCTTTGTCATCATGGGGTATTGTGTGTAGATTGATGAGATAAAAAATTTTTTAAATCCATTTTCGAATAAGGGTGCAACGTAACAAAATGTTACAACAGCTCCAGGCATTCCATGCTTTTCTTAACTCTTGTTCTGAGCACCTGAGATTTACTATGCAATCCGACACACGTCAAATCAGTTTCCTTGATCTTCTGATTTTGTGTGAGGATAATGTTCTATACACTGATCTTTACAGGAAACCTACTGATCGTAACAGTTTGTTGAGGGCTAATAGTTGTCACCCGCTTCCCTTGAAAAACAGTTTGCCCTACAGCCAATTCTGTCGAATCAAAAGATTTTGTAAAAAACAATCAGATTTCGACCGTAATATGGCTGAGACGCAAAGAAAATTCAAGGAGAGGGGGTACAAAAATGGTCAGATTAATACTGCCATTGAGAAAATTCAAAACAAATCGAGACCTGATCTCTTTCAAGGACTCGCAAAAATAAGCATTCTTGCGTTCTAACTACACGCTATTCAAAGTGCTCTAAACAAATTAAGGGAATCGTTCACAAACATTGGCACATTCTAAGATCCGATGACAGTATTGGTAATGTGTTTTCAGACCCTCCCTTGGTTGTATTCTCACGGGGCAGAAATCTCAGAGATAAATTGGTAAACTCTGATTTAGCACCCCTAAATATCCCTGCACAACGTCTATTTGCGCCTCTACCGGATGGAAAATACAAGTGTAACAGCTGCGCTCAATGCAATGGCACTTACAAATGTAGATCCTTCAAACACCCCCAAACAGGGAAACAGATCCCAATCAAAGGTGTTATTACGTGCTCCACAAAGGCAGTTATTTATCTTATAACTTGTCCTTGTGGTACACATTATGTGGGTAAAACAAAGCGCGAATTACAAGTACGAATCTCGGAGCATCGTAGCACCATTAGGTGCAAAAACTCTACATACCCAGTCGCTGCCCACTTTTTTGGAAGCGAACCAATCGATTTCTTCCCTACGTTATATCGGCATCGAACAGGTCACCCTCCCTAGGAGAGGGGGTGACCTCGAGAACTTATTGTTAAAACGAGAGGCTGCCTGGATCTTTAATTTAAAGACCCTTGCTCCCTTCGGTCTCAACGTAGACTTTGATTTGAAGCCATTCTTGTGATTTTGCTATTCATTGTAAATGTTGTGGGCCTATGTAGCCAAGTATCTATGATTATGTGCTATCCATGTTTTTTGTATGTTGTTTTTATCTGTGAATTGGCCAATGCTATTAGGCCACACCCGGCCATGATTACAGACACCTGCGTGTGTCCTTTGACACTATATAAACTAGTGACCCGCAGTGTTTGTCATTATACCCTGATGAAGACAGCTTGTCTGTCGAAAACGTTGGTTATTAGGATATTAAATTATTGCATCTGAGCTCCTAGAGTGTGCGGCTTTCCTTTTCTTTTTCAAGTGTTTTACGCCGTCAGCCAGCACCTCGCCTAAATAGGTGTGCGTTTCATTCGCAATAGGTGTCAATTTTCAGACATTTCTAAAAACCTATTTTCGCTTTGTCATTATGGGGTATTGTGTGTAGATTGATGAGATATATATATATTTTTATCCATCTTTGAATAAGGGTGCAATGTAACAAAATGTGGAAAAAGTAAAGGGGTCTGAATACTTTCCGAATGCACTGTACGTGTATGTCTTTAGTGTGAACTTGAATACGTGTATGGATTTTGAGGTTCTGACATGGAGCGCGAGGGAGTTTCAGAGTTTGGGAGCTGCACTTCTAAAAGCCCAGTCTCCCATGGAGCGGAGCCTGGTGCGAGGGATCATATGTGTCAGAGGAGCGCAGTGAAGAGGTGGGAGTGTAGGGGTGCAGAAGGTCAGTAAGGTATGTGGGCGCCAGTCCATTGCGTGCTTTGTAGGTGAGCATGGGCAATTTGAAGATGATCCTGTATTGAACTGGGAGCCATTGGAGTTTGATGAGGGTGGGGTTGATATGGTCCCAAGGTGTGTTGTGTGTGAGGACTAATGCAGCTGAATTTTGAATATGTTGAAGTCTGTCCAGAGTTTTGGCGGTGAGTCTGTAGAGAATGGCACTGCAGTAGTCCAGGCGTGATAAAACAAAGACAGGAATTAAGATTTCAGCAGTGGTGTCAGTGAAAGAGGGTCTGCAGTGTGAGAGGTTTTTGAGGTGGAAGAAGGCTGACTTGGTGATGTTCTGGATGTGGGGTTTAAATGACAGAGTGGGGTCAAATGTAACACCAAGGTTCCTGACTGTTGCGTTGGAGTGGATTGTGCAGCCGTTGATTGTCATGTTGAGTTGACCCAGTTTCTTGATCAGGGAGTTGGGGCCCATGAGCATGATCTCTGTTTTGTCGTCGTTTCGTTTTTAAAAGTTATTGCTCAACCAAATAAAATAAAATTGTATTTCTCACATGCGTCGAATACAAGAAGCCCTTAATCAACAATGCAGAGTAAGAAAATATTTGCTAAATAAACTAAATTTAAAAAAGTAACACAATAAAAAAGCAATAACTGGGCTATATACAGAGAGTACCGGTACTGTGCAGGGATACTGGTTAGTTGAGGAAATTGAGGCCATATGTACTTGTAGGTAGGGGTAAAGTGACTATGCATAGATAATAAACAGCGAGTAGCTGCAAATAGTCTGGGTAGCCATTTGATTAACTGTTCAGCAGTCTTGTGGCTTGGAGGTAGAAGCTATTAAGGAGCCTTTTGGACCTAGACTTGGCGCTCCGGTACCGCTTGCATTGCGGTAGCAGAGAGAACAGTCTATGACTTGGGTGGCTGGAGTCTTTCACAATTTTTAGGGCCTTCCTCTGACACTGCCTGAAATAGAGGTCCGGGATGGCAGGAAGCTTGGCCCCAGTGATGTACTGGGCCATACGCACTACCCTCTGTAGTGCCTTGCAGTCGGATGCCAAGCAGTTGTCATACCAGGTGGGGATGCAACCAGTCAGGATGCTCTCGATGGTGCAGCTGTAGAACGTTTTGAGGATCTGAGGACCCATGCCAAATATTTTCAGTCTCCTGAGGGGGAATAGTCATTGTCGTGCCCTCTTCACGACTGTCTTGGTGTGTTTGGACTATGATAGTTTGTTGGTGATGTGGACACCAAGGAACTTGAAGCTCTCGACCCGCTCCACTACAGCCTCATATATGTGAATGGGGGCATGTTCGTCCCTCCTTTTCCTGTAGTCCACGATCAGCTCCTTTGTCTTGCTCACGTTGAGGGAGAGGTTGTTGTCCTGGCACCACACTGCCAGGTCTCTGATCTCCTCCCTATAGGCTGTCTCATCATTGTCGGCCTACCACCGTTTTGTCGTCGGCAAACTTAATGTCAGTGTTGGAGTCGTTCTTGGCCACTCAGTCATGGGTGAACAGGGAGTACAGGAGGGGACTAAGCATACACCCCTGAGGGGCCCACGTGTTGAGGATCTGTGTGGCAGATGTGTTGTTGCCTACCCTTACCACCTGGGTGCGTCCCATCAGGAAGTCCAGGATCCAGTTGCAGAGGGAGGTGTTTAGTCCCAGGGTCCTTAGCTTAGTGATGAGCTTTGAGGGCTCTATGGTGTTGAACGCTAAGCTGTAGTCACTGAACAGAATTCTCACGTAGCTGTTCCTTTTATCCAGGTGTGTGGAGTGCAATAGAGATTGCGTCATCAGTGGATCTGTTGGGGCGGTATGCAAACTGGAGTGGGTTTAGGGTTTCTGGGATGATGGTGTTGATGTGAGCCATGACCAGCCTTTCAAAGCACTTCATGGCTACAGACGTGAGTGATGTGGGTCGGTAGTCATTTAGGAAGGTTACCTTGGTGATCTTAGGCACAGGGACTATCGTGGTCTGCTTGAAACATGTAGGTATTACAGACTCGGTCAGGGAGAGGTTAAAAACTTCAGTGAAGACACTTGCCAGTTTGTCAGTGCATGCATCATCACCGCAAACCGCTGTTTTGGCGTCTACGCCGGCACGGCCATCTTGGTTAACTACATGCTGATGGTGACCTGGCTGCCAGCCGTGGTGGTGCTCCATCAGCGTTACCTACCCAACATCTTCACCTGCTCTAAACCTCCCCCACAGCAGAGTGGGTTCTGCACCCACACCCTCTGTGCCAACCTGTGCCAGAAGGCCAGCAAGTGCCTGTTCACCGTCTCCGAGGCCTCCCGGATCTTCTTTGAGAAGGTGCTGCCCTGCATCGTGATCAAGTTGCGCTACCTCTGGCTCTTCTGGTTCCTGGCCTTCACTGTGAGAGGGGCATACGTGGTGTGTGTCAACCCCAAGATGAAGCTGCCCTCCCTGGAGCTCTCAGAGTTCTAGGTGTTCTGCTCCTCCCACCCCTTTGAGCGTTATGACGCTGAGTACAAGAAACTGTTCATGTTTGAGAGGGTCCACCATGGGGAGGACCTGCACATGCCCATCACCATCATCTGGGGGTCACCCCCGTGGACAACTGGGACCCCCTCAACCCTAAGCATAAAGGCAAGCTTATGCTGGACATCACCTTCAACATCGCCAGCCCAGCCTCCCAGCTGTGGATCCTCAACTTCTGCCAGAGGCTAAGGAACCAGAGCTTTGTGTTCCAGTCGGAGGGGCAGGACTTCACCAGCTGCTTCATTGAGACCTTTAAGCAGTGGATGAGAACCGGGACTGTGAAGAGTCCTCGGTCTACCCTTGCTGCAGCCAGTCAACATTCCCCTACAAGCAGGACATCTTTGAGTTGTGCATCAAGAGGGCCATCATGGAGCTGGACCGCAGCACCAGCTTCCACCTGGACAGTAAGACCCCCGGGCCTCGCTTCGACATCAACGACACCATCCGGGCCATTGTCCTGGAGTTCCAGAGCACCTACCTGTTCACACTGGCCTACGAGAAGATGCACCAGTTCTACCACGAGGTGGACACCTGGATCCAGGAGGAGCTGAAGAACGCCCTGGCCGGGCTGAATTACGCTGGTTTGTCAGCAACCTGGAGTTCTACGACCTGCAGGTCAGCCTATCGGACAGCACTCTCATCGCCATGGCGTTGTCCGTGGTGGTGGCCTTTGTAGTCATGCTCCTCACCACCTGGAACATCATCATCAGCCTCTACGCCATCCTCTCCATCGCTGGCACCATCTTCGTCACGGTGGGCTCGCTGGTTCTGCTGGGCTGGGAGCTCAACATGCTGCAGTCAGTCACCATCTCAGTGGCGGTGGGTCTGTCAGTGGACTTTGCCGTGCACTATGGAGTTTCTTATCGCCTTGCCCCTGACCCTGACCGTGAGGGGAAAGTCGTATTCTCCCTCGGCCGGATGGGTTCTGCTATTGCCATGGCGGCGCTCACCACATTTGTCGCTGGAGCGATGATGATGCCATCCACGGTGCTGGCATACACCCAGCTAGGCACCTTCATGATGCTCATCATGTGCATCGGTTGGGCTTTTGCCACCTTCTTCTTCCAGTGCATGTGCCGTTGCCTGGTCCCCCAGGGCACCTGCGGACAGATCCCCCTGCCCAAGAGGTTTCAGTGCCAGGCTTTCAAAGAGGGCACCACCAACATCCCCTCACCCCAGGGCAAGCATGGCACCAAGTACCAACTGGACAGTCGAAGAGGGGAGGTGGAGCATGAGCATTACGAGCTGGATCCATTAGCTTCAAACCCTAGGAATGAGGAGAAACCTGCAGAGGAACAGGAGGCGTGCACCCAGCTCTATAATGGAATAGCCCCCCACTCTGCCCTCTGCACACACATCCCCTTTAAGAGCAAGGCAGAGCCCGGCAGAGGGCCCGGCTCTGAAAATGGACTGGGCACATTGGCCACCAACCCCACATCCAAATGCCAGTACCCTCATAACACAACCTGCACATGTGGGGAACCCCCTCCTCCTCAGCAGTCTATGGGTATGCAGTGGATCCCCCACCCATGCACTCAAACAACCCAGGACTCCCCATGCCCCACTCCTCAGTTCCCCCTCACAGGCAGCCATGCCAACAAAGGCCAGAACCTGTCTGCTCTGGATGCAGTCTACAAACCCATAGATTGCCGTATGCACTATGTACACTGTCCTCCAGCTCACTTCCACAACTGCACCCCGGGCAGGGTGCCCAGACAGGGCGCTCACAGCTGCCACCTCAGAAACTACTGTGTTCACACTGTCCCCCTCCTGGGTGGCCTTCCCAGGGACCAGAGCTCTGCCCCAGACCCAGCTGGGCTGGAGGAGTCACACCGGACTGGAGGGTCATCTGGCCCTAGCGGCTGTCCTAACACCCCAGCGCAGACTTGGACTCAAGTCCTCCTGCCTCCCCTCTGGGCTGCACGTTAGCCCACACACACACAGGCTGCTGCAGAGCCAATCATGGAACACAGAGGGCGGGAGAGAGAACGGTAAACACTCCAAGTGATCAGAGCATGGATAATTATGTGTCCACCACAACGCAAAAGGGCGCTTGTCATAAGATGTCCAGCAACCAGGAGAAGCTTGAAACTAGTACAACTCCCATCACACGGGAAGAAAGTGTTGAAAAGTGCAAAAAAACCCCAAAAAGGGAGGGCAAACCTCAGCCCTCCTAAAACTACTGTTTTTTAAACAAACTTTGGAAAGTAAAAGGGAATTCGTCGAGTTTAAGTGCCAAAAAACTAAGCCAGTGTCCTGCCTTTTCAATAAATTTAAAAAACCCCATCTGAAAGTTTATTTACGCAAAGAGACAGAAGAAATTCGAAGCTAAATTTTAAAGAGTAAATTTTGTCTTAAGCTATATGTGCTGTCCCTTGCAGTTAAAAATGCTTGGTAAATTTTTTAGTCCCCTGTAGCTCAATTGGGAGAGCATGGCGCTTGCAACGCCAGGTTGTGGGTTCGTTTCCCACAGGGGGCCAGTATGAAAAATGTATGCACTCACTAACTGTAAGTCGCTCTGGATAAGAGCGTCTGCTAAATGACTAAAATGTCAATGTCAAAATGCTCTGAGTACACATCCTGGTAATCGGCTACGGAGAGCGTGATCAACACAGTCATCATGAATAGCTGGTGCTAGTCTCATGCATATCTAGAAGCTTTGCCTGTTAGCATGGATTCATCTAAAGTTTGCGAGGCCACCCCATGCAGTATTTCTTAGTCCTATATGAAAAGCTTTGCCTGTTAGATGGTTCATCGGAGGGCATAGCAGTATTTTCTTATAGCCGTCCGGATAGTGTCCCGCTCCTTGAAAGCGCAGCTCTACCTTTAGCTCAGTGCGGATGTTGGCCTGTAACTCCATGGACTTCTGGGTTAGGGGATTGTACGTACGGTCAACTGTGGGGACGGACGTCATCAGATGCACTTATTGATGAAGCCGGTGACTGATGTGGTATACTCCTCAATGCCATCGGATGAATCCTGGAACATATTCCAGTCTGTACTAGTAAAACAGTCCTGTAGCTTAGCATCTGCGTCATCTGACCACTTCCCGTTTTTGAGCGAGTCACTGGTACTTCCTGCTTTAGGTTTTGCTTGTAAGCAGGAATGAGGAGGATAGAATTATGGTCAGATTTGCCAAATGGAGGGAGCGTGAGAGCTTTGTACGGGTCTCTTTGTGTGGAGTAAAGGTGGTCTAGAGTTTTTTTCCTCTGTACCCCCGCACTTTGACTCAGTACTGGTACCCCCGTATATAGCCTTGTTATTTTTATTTTATTGTGTTACTTTTTATTTTATTTTTTACTTTAGTTTATTTAGTAAATATTTTCTTAACTCTATTTCTTGAACTGCATTGTTGGTTAAGGCCATGACTCAGGTGAAACATGCGAATGACGGGGATTTGGGCCTGGTCCGGGAACAGCAGTAAATATTTAGCCTCCGACTCATTAAATAAAGAATCTTTGTCCAGTTCGAGGTGCGTAATCGCTGTTCTGATATCCAGAAGCTATTTTCGGTCATAAGAGACGGTGGCAGAAACATTAGGCACAAAATAAGTTACAAACAACGTGAAAAAAACAGACAAAATAGCACAATTGGTTAGGAGCCCGTAAACCGTCAGCCATCCCTTCCGGCGCCATTTCTGAGTTATATTCAAGTTTTCACTTCACGGAGACAGCAGAGAGGGGTGCAGAGTGGAGTTGGGTTTTGTGTGGATGTACAGTAGATGTGTGTCATCTGCATAACAGTGTGTCCAAATTGATCGAAGATCTGACCAAGGGGTAGCATGTAAATACTAAACAGTAATGGACCTAACACTGAGCCTTTTGGGACACCTTGTGATACAGGGGCTGGGGCAGACCTGCAGTTTCCAAGGGAGACAAACTGTTGTCTATCATATAGATAGGAGTGGAACCAGACAAGGGGTGTTCTGGAAACTCCAAGAAGCCTCTCCATGCAGTAAGTTAAAATCTGATCCCAAACAGTGTCAAATGCTGCATACAGGTCCAGGATTATGAGGATGGAGATGTTCCTAGCATCAGCAGCACAGAGGAGGTCGTTCACAACCTTTACAAAGGCAGTTTCGGTGCTATTCATAGCCCGGAATCCCAACTGGAGGGGTTCGAAAAGTTCATGAGGCCACGTGTTGTTGAATTTGTGACACTACCACCCATCACAAATCCAACAATAGTCTATACAGTGAGGGAAAAAAGTATTTGATCCCCTGCTGATTTTGTACGTTTGCCCACTGACAAAGACATGATCAGTCTATAATTTTAATGGTAGGTTTATTTGAACAGTGAGAGACAGAATAACAACAAAAAAATCCTGAAAAACACATGTCAAAAATGTTATAAATTGATTTGCATTTTAATGAGGGAAATAAGTATTTGACCCCTCTGCAAAACATGACTTAGTACTTGGTGGCAAAACCCTTGTTGGCAATCACAGAGGTCAGACGTTTCTTGTAGTTGGCCACCAGGTTTGCACACATCTCAGGAGGGATTTTGTCCCACTCCTCTTTGCAGATCTTCTCCAAGTCATTAAGGTTTCGAACCTGACGTTTGGCAACTCAAACCTTCAGCTCCCTCCACAGATTTTCTATGGGATTAAGGTCTGGAGACTGGCTAGGGCACTCCAGGACCTTAATGTGCTTCTTCTTGAGCCACTCCTTTGTTGCCTTGGCCGTGTGTTTTGGGTCATTGTCATGCTGGAATACCCATCCACGACCCATTTTCAATGCCCTGGCTGAGGGAAGGAGGTTCACACCCAAGATTTGACGGTACATGGCCCCGTCCATCGTCCCTTTGATGTGGTGAAGTTGTCCTGTCCCCTTAGCAGAAAAACACACCCAAAGCATAATGTTTCCACCTCCATGTTTGACGGTGGGGATGGTGTTCTTGGGGTCATAGGCAGCATTCCTCCTCCTCCAAACACGGCGAGTTGAGTTGATGCCAAAGAGCTCGATTTTGGTCTCATCTGACCACAACACTTTCACCCAGTTCTCCTCTGAATCATTCAGATGTTCATTGGCAAACTTCAGACGGTCATGTATATGTGCTTTCTTGAGCAGGGGGACCTTGCGGGCGCTGCAGGATTTCAGTCCTTCACGGTGTAGTGTGTTACCAATTGTTTTCTTGGTGACTATGGTCCCAGCTGCCTTGAGATCATTGACAAGATCCTCCCGTGTAGTTCTGGGCTGATTCCTCACCGTTCTCATGATCATTGCAACTCCACGAGGTGAGATCTTGCAGGGAGCCCCAGGCCGAGGGAGATTGACAGTTAATTTGTGTTTCTTCCATTTGCGAATAATCGCACCAACTGTTGTCACCTTCTCACCAAGCTGCTTGGCGATGGTCTTGTAGCCCATTCCAGCCTTGTGTAGGTCTACAATCTTGTCCCTGACATCCTTGGAGAGCTCTTTGGTCTTGGCCATGGTGGAGAGTTTGGAATCTGATTGATTGATTGCTTCTGTGGACAGGTGTCTTTTATACAGGTAACAAACTGAGATTAGGAGCACTCCCTTTAAGAGTGTGCTCCTAATCTCAGCTCGTTACTTGTAGAAAAGATATATTGTTCTATTGACAATATATAGAACCTTTAACCTTTAGTACAGGGTTCTTTAATCTTGTCCAAAGAACCAAAAGGTCCTTAAGAACCCTTTTTCTAAGAGTGTGACAAAGGGATCAATAAAAACGACATTGTCAGATCCATATAATAGGCCTACGAGAAGGGGATACACAAATACAATATGATGTTCATCTAACCTGGAGGAGGAAATTATTGTCCAAAAACAAACTTTCAAGTGGAACTGACCCAACAATGACAAAGAGTGAATATGCGCACTCGCTGGAATATGGCAAATGCTCTCCGCTAGTGCCAATAAGATAGGCTATACCGTTCGTTCAGTTAAGTTGAGCATTTTGATAAGTAAAAGACAGATTAGAGTATTTTCATTGTCTTCTCTTTACTTTATGCATGCAACGCCTGTGGCCACCTGGCTCAAACCGCTGCAGGTGCAAATTCCTCTGGATTAAGTGCTGGCCGGCCCGGTTACCAGGTGTGTCTCTTTCCCCTATAACAGAAACATGCAGGATGGGAAGAGGCCGCCTTGGTTGTCCTTTATGCGCAGGGGCTATCGGAGGGGATGAAGGATGAACTCTCCTTCAGGGAGCTGCCTGAGCGACTGGACGGCCTCGCCGAACTCTCGGTGCGGGTAGACAATCGGCGTCGTGAGAGGGCGCATGAGAGAGGGATGACGCAAGGTGCGCCTCCGCGTCCCCCTATCAACCCGGAGGCTTTCCGCCGATTCAGGTAGGAGATGCCTCAGGAAGAGACTATGCAGCTGGGGGCAGCGCGCTTGTCCAGGATGGAGAGGCAGAGGCGTCTGTGCCAGGGACGTTGCCGGTACTGTGGCCAGGCAGGTCACAACTGCGACTCTTGCCCGGAGAAGCCGGGAAACAGGAGGGCTCGCTAGTATCGGGAGGGGTGCTAGCGAAACCGAAACCCCAACTCCAGAGACTCCCAGACTTTTCACCCCGTCAGGGTTCAGTGGGCCTGCGCTGCGCGTCAGGAGCATACGCTGGTGGATTCTGGGGCCGCGGGAAACCTGATGGACGCGGGGCTGGCCCAAGGGTGGAGTGGTCTAGCCAACGCGCCTGCAGTGTTCCAGACGTTGGTCAATGACGTGCTCCGGGCCCTCCTCGACTACAGCGTCTTCGTGTATTTGGATTACATCCTAATATTTTCAAAGGACATGAGTGAACACCAGCAGCATGTTCGGCAGGTCCTCCAATGCCTTCTCCGTCTCCAGCTCTACATCAAGGCGGAGAAGTGCGTGTTCCAAACAGAGACAGTCTCCTTCCTGGGGTTCATTGTCACCCAGGGGGACCTACGGATGGACCCAGCCAAGGTCAGCGCGGTACTGGATTGTCCCCAGCCCTCATCCCTCAAGCAACTAGAACCGCTAATTTTTATAGGTGATTTATTTGCAATTTTAGCTCCCTAGCCGCTTCACTGACAGCCTTCACCCAGACGAGTGTGCGCCTTTTTCTCACGTCGGCTGTCCCCGGCGGAGCAGAATTACGACGTAGGGAACCGAGAGTTACTAGCGGTCAAGCTCGCCCTGGGGGAGTGGAGACATTGGCTACAGGGGGCCGCCCATCCATTCGTCGTATGGACGGACCATAAGAACTTAGTCTACATTCAGGGGGCTAAGAGGCTCAACTCGCGCCAGGCCAGGTGGGCGTTGTTCTTCACCAGGTTCCGGTTCACCATTTCATACCTTCAGGGGTCGAAGAACACCAAGTGCTCTCCTGCAGTTTGACCCTGTGGACCTGGTCGAGAGGGACGACCCCATTGTCCCCAACGCCCTGATTGTTGCACCAGTTTCGTGGGGAATCGATAGGCTGGTAAGAGCACTGCAACGGCGGGAGCCCGTTCCAATTAATTGTGTCATATTGTCATTGTATGCTGTAGCTTTAAAATGTCCCTTCACTGGAACTAAGGGGCCTAGCCCGAACCATCAAAAACTGCCCCAGACCATTATTCCTCCTCCACCAAACTTTACAGTTGGCATTATGCATTTGGGCAGGTAGCGTTCCCCTGGCATCCGTCAAACCCGGATTTGTCTGTTGCACTACCAGATGGTGAAGCGTGATTCATCATTCCAAAGAACACATTTCCACTGCTCCAGAGTCCAAAGGCGGCGAGCTTTACACCACTCCAGCCGACGCTTGGCATTGCGCATGGTTGATTTTAGGCTTGTGTGCGGCTGCTCGGCCATGTGTGGCCAAACACTTCACTGCTGAGCCGTTGTTGCTCCTATACGTTTCCACTTCACCATAACAGCAATTACAGTTGACCGGGGCAACTCTAGCAGGGCAGAATTTAACGAACTGACTTGTTGGAAAGGTGGCATCCTATGACAGTGCCACGTTGAAAGTCACCGAGCTCTTCAGTAAGACCATTCTACTGTAAATGTTTGTGTATGGAGATTGCATGGCTGTGTGCTCGAATTAATACATCTGTCAGAAACGGTCCACTAATTTGTAGGGGTATCCACATACTTTTGTGTATATAGTGTATTTTGATATATTTTATTTCATAGTCCTCTGCAAATGACAGGGATAGATAGTGTGTTCCAGACGTGGAGACTGTGACAGCAGCATTACCATCCTTGATTAGGCTAATGAGGATTGAGTAATAATGCCCTAGTCAAAAAGTCCTATAGAATTCCAATAAATAAAATCTAATAGAAAATCTTATCAGATTTTGCCAGCTATCCTATAGGACTGTATCATATAGGATAGAATCCCATAGGAGCCCAATAGGACTGGTTCCAAAATCTGATAGGAGTTTTCTATTGGATTATTCTATTGGAATCCTATAGGATCCTATAATATTCAATCCCAAATGGACTGGTTTCAGAATCTGATAGGATTTGTCTATTGGTCATACTGCAAATGAACTTGCACACTCCATATTGTGATGGTGTGTTGAAGAGGTTGAGAACCTCAGGGAATTATCACTGGTGTGAGTAGGCAAAGATATGGAGATTGTGCTCCAGAGACAAGGGAGAGAGGCTGTTACCAGTTTACTGGTCTTTAATCTTGATTGCAGTTTAACATTCATGTTCAGGTTTCTATGCCATATTTATCTGTGAGATTGTCCAATAAAGCTGTATTTATCCAATTGTAGTGCCCATGCAATGTGGTCTGAAATAACAATGAATAGAATAATAACAATACTATGGTTTGACAGGTTGTAACAAGTATGCAGGGCAAATGAACCCGCTGCTGCACAATCACTATGGGAGCTCTTTCTAGATCGCCCGGTTAAATTGTGCATAAGAGCATCATTTAACTCTGTAAATGGTTAAACTAGTGAAAAATATACGTGTACACTATTAGCCTTAATTGAAACGTAAATTTATTTTTACACTTTAGATTGTTAAATATTTCGCTAATTTCCTGCACGTAGACGACAGTATGTGTTACTACGTTACACAACCTCACATTTTGACCACATCGAATATGAGGGTAATTGCACATTGTATTTACCTCAGATTAGTGATGTTAGTATAAACTTTTATAGTAATCAAAATGACACAAAATCGATTGCTTAAAACATATCAATATCATTGGTTTTGGACCGTTGATTTTGTCATACGTGCTGGCAGTCTCAGGACTTCATTTTCAAACTCAAATGGCAGGGAAAATTCAGGGCGCTCTCTGTATAAAAGTCGCTGGCCTCACACCTATACATTTCAGAGTCAAACTATCACTCAAATAACAGCCAACCCTTGTCACTGTTGATATCCTATGGCAGGTCGTGATTCGTTGAAATTAAATAACAAAGCAAGTGATTTGTTTCCATCCCCGTTTCGGCAGCCTCCCAAAACTTCCATCCGACATTCTACTGTTTTCAGCTAATTCTCTTCTAACCAGTGATATTACAATTATTCTCAGATTCAGTGTGTCCTTTGAATAGTGTTAGTTTAAACAGTGCATAGACCCCAAACGTTTGCCTCTGCTCTATTGATTTCAAATTGATATCGATGAGTGATTAACAAAATAGTGTTGCGTTTACCTTTCCGCATTGGCGATCCACTTCTACACACAATACCCCATAATGACAAAGTGAAAACATGTTTTTAGAATTTTTTGCAAATATATTATTTACTAAATGATTCACACCCTTGAGTCAATACTTTGTAGAAGCACCTTTGGCAGTGATTACAGCTGTGCCTCTTTCTGGGTAAGTCTTCAAGAGCTTTTCCAGACCTGGATTGTGCAACATTTTCCCATTATTATTTTCAAAATTCTTCAAGCTCTGTCAAATTGGTTGTTGATCATTGCTAGACAACCATTTTCAGGTCTTGCCATAGATTAACATTTTATGTTAATGTTTTCAATATTACTGTATAACAAACGGTTTATTGGACACTTCAAAACAGTGTTTTGACATTGGGCTAGTTATTGTCAATGGGAAGCAGCAACAGCATCATTTTCAACATGTGTTTTAGGAATATGAATGGGACTTTCAACATTAATTTCCAATAGTGTTCTAGCTACTTAATTAGGTAAAAACTGCTGAATGAGTCCAAAAACATGATGTGATTGATTTATTTGGATTATCTACCAGAAATCATCATATAAGGCACATATATTTAGCAATAACAAACATACTGGTCCCCTGTAGCTCAGTTGGTAGAGCATGGCGCTTGCAACGCCAGGGTTGTGGGTTCGTTTCTCACGGGGGGGCAGTATGAAAATGTATGCACTAACTGTATGCACTAACTGAGTGGCGCAGTGGTCTAAGGCACTGCATCGTAGTGCTAACTGTGCCACTAGAGATCCTGGTTCGAATCCAGGCTCTGTCGCAGCCGGCCGCGACCGGGAGACTCATGGGCGGCGCACAATTGGCCCAGCGTCGTCCAGGGTAGGGGAGGGAATGGCCGACAGGGATGTAGCTCAGTTGATAGAGCATGGCGTTTGCAACGCCAGGGTTGTGGGTTCGATTCCCACGGGGGGCCAGTATAAAAAAATAATATGTATTCACTAACTGTAAGTCGCTCTGGATAAGAGCGTCTGCTAAATGACTAAAATGTAATGTAAGTCGCTCTGGATACGAGCATCTGCTAAATGTAAGAAAAAACATTTATCATCTGCTATAACAATTCTTACAGGTGAAAATTATTATTTCCAACAGGAAAAAAGTAGTCCGATAGGATTCCAATAGGATTCTGATAGAGGTGACACAAATCCTATAGGATTCTATTGGACAAATCACTAAGTCTATAGGATGTTTTGAGTAGGGGGCCAGGGCTCGGGGTTGGAATATCCATTGCAGTGTGTAATGCAGCCTAGTTTTATTTACACCATCTCAGCAGCTACCTTAGAAATATAACTTTGCTCTGTGATTCTCTGAGCATGCACTTCGTAGCCTATAACCTATAGGCTATGGATAATTTGAATACTTTTTATGGACCATCAATGCATGATGAATAGGCTAGGTTAAGATATGTGGGGCGTTTTCGAAGGTGTAGCTAGGCTACGTACTTCAGTTCATACAGTTTGATGCACATTAGGCTACATCGTGTGGGGGAAGTACATTATTATTTAAGGAACGGTAAATACTTAGCCTACATTTATTTATAGGAAAGAATGCCTCTTCACCTTTGACCTTGATTACCATAGCAACAGGGACGCGTCATCTATTGTCACTGATGTGACTGGTCAGGTCCTGCTAGGACTTGTCCATTGTAAAGCACAGTGTCATGATAGATATATTTTTTCAACCTCCTTTATTAGCTAACCTTGGATGATAAAAAAATAATAAAAGCTGTAACGTCAAATGTGTGTTTAATGTACAAGTATTTCCGTTAGCCGATAAAGTGTTTGTAAATAACAGGCTTGCAAAATATAAATGGAACATGCCTGGCAACACTAGTTGGTGAAATGGCGTCTGGTTGCCTAGTGCTCGGTCTATTTTAGCTATCTGGTTAGCTAGCTATATTCAATAACCTTTGACTGTGAATGGCAGTACATTTTCAGTAGAATAAATAACTTCATTGCAATATATTTCAACATGTCGGATTCAGAAGAGGACAGTCAAGATAAGCAACTTAAAATTGTAGTCATCGGAGACGGCGCATCGGGGAAGGTGAGGGATGTTCAAGCTAACTGAGCTAGCTAACATTGGCTAGCAAGCTAACAGATAACGTTAGACTTGTTTTTTTGAGTAACGTTAATTTAGTTGGCTAGCTAGCAACATAACTATGTGGCTAATTGGGTAAATTACTGTGTAGTGGATAACTTTAGCTCAGAGTATCTTACATAATTGTCCTTCATAGCTGCGTGTGCTAGGCCAACGTTTTGGCTATGCTTGTTAGCTGCTAAACTAGCTAGTTAACGTTAGCTAGCTAGCTCTTCAGCCAGGTAAAAGGGGAACCATCACCTAGGGTTGTCAGACAGGCAGTGTTTTTGTTGTTGCATAACTATAGCCAATGATGATGATAATTTAGTTGGTTAACCTTAGTTACCGTCTTCATTTTGCACAACAGGGGCAGAGTAATGTAAATAGCTAGTTAGTTAGTTAGCTCTGGACCAGGGCGGAACGTTAACGTTAGCTAGCTAACGACATGGAAACAAAGTCCAGTTACTGTCAATGATGAGCTACCAAGCTACTTTCCTCTGAATTGTCTTATTAACAGTCACAGTGTCAACAGAATGGACAATTAAGCCTGTGGTGCGCAACATGTTGCCCGGCCACAGACAGTGACCAGGAAAACGGTTGAAGAACATCATCAATCTTGAAAGAGACCGAAAAAGTCGCAGCCAAATCTGCCACATTTAGGGCTGATGAGTTCAGCAGGCTATTATTTTGGGTTGAGCAGCTGAGTGCATCAACAGGCCTAAATTGATTAGAATAGCATAACTAGGTTGGTTCATAAATACACTGCTCAAAACTCTTATGGAAAGAGACACACAACACCAAAAAGTGTAATGACATTTGGCGATTGTCATTAGGCCATAATTTATGCATCCACTGCTGTCCGCGCGTGTCTTGATGTCGGCCACTCATCTCTGCCTTGGCAAAATGTCTGTGTTTTCGTCGAATCACATCGCATTTTGGAGCGTAGGCTATACCACCCGGTGTCAAATCCATTCACTCATTTTTGTATGCCTCTGACATGCGGTAATTATAAAAAGTGGTGTAATAGCCTACAGTTTTCTGGACATTTTACCGGTATGGCGTACCCCCACTATTTATTTAGCCGGGACGCCGGACCGGACCATACCGCCTTACTGTCACCCCTGAATACATCTCAATATATATGCTCCAACCTTCAATTCAGAATTGTTCAGAGGGAGATTGCCAAGATTATCAAACTACTGTTACTGTGTAACAGATCCATAAACTGTTTCGAAGATAGCATAGTGGATTTAAATCTGGCATGAATCCTATTTTGTAAACCTATTAATCGTACCTGACCCTTAATCCAGGTTACGTGTGCTGTTGGAGGGACTTTCTGGAGAGCTTTGGACCGTAGTACTCTGGTTGTCTAATGTTACTTTGTTAGCCAGTGATTACAGGTAGGCCACAAAGGTGTGTGTGTGTGGACTACACAATAATTCCGTTGCTGTATTGCCTAGTACAAGGTGGCCTAACAGCCTAGCCTACATATAATGATTAAAGCCTCTTCTCACATAATCAATGTTGTAGGTCTAAGTTACAGGGAAATAATATGGGCCTAGGCCTATTTACTCATGCAGGCATAACATTCAATGTAGATAAAATTGTGCCTAGAATCTAAAGCTTGATTGTTCAGTAGGTGAAAAAGTGTAGCCTATATTTTCAAGCGAACCCTTCCTTGCTATACTCAGGAGTGAATGTTCTCATTTGACTCCCTGCTGCACAAGCGGTGCTTTAACATGACAGCTCTTGCAGTAATTACCAATTCCTTCATATGAACCAGCAAGGGACAAGTCTCAGTCTGCAGAAATGGGATTGACCTCGCTCCAGATTACACACACCTTTTTAAGACTCAAATGGCATTTATGTATTTCTTAGGCTTAATCTGGAAGCTTATCATTATGTTCTTCTATTACATTTGGAATTGAACTAACTGTGGTATAAGCTTAGTGGGAGGAGGCATGGAGAATTCTGCAGTGATTTAAATGTTCAGGCGGCATCTGAATCGTTGTTAGGCTACTAGCTTGCTGTCAACACTGAGGCCAGTAATAAAACCAGTCACCATTCTGGACACATTTTCTTTAAAACTAGAAACTCATAAACCTCACCTAAAACTTGTAACATTCTATGCATAGGCTTTAGACCCAGCCAAGACTGTTTTGTACCATACATATTTAATGAGTCTTTCATTCATTCTCTTCTTGGTAGATATAGGCCTACATTTTCCAGACCTAGGCTCTGTAGCCTACTTTGCAGAATAGCCTGAATGCAAATGTTCAGTTCAGATTTATTTTTTAGAAAGACATGTATTTCTGGGCAAATATTTTGAGACTGCTTGGTCTGTATGGTCATAATGCAGGTAACCCAAATGTACCAACATTTCTCTTTGTCACAGCACAGACTGTTTGCAGCAAAGAGGTTGTCGTGACCAATGCGGCAGCGGTTCTTCTTCGCTGTGTCTCTGAATCCTCAAATGATTGAGTGTGAATGTACTGCAGTGATTTTAAGTGCTTTTTGGCTTCACTAACCTCTCTTGAAAGACATTCCTCCCCCTCAAAGAGAAACAAAATGAATGGAGCAGTTCCTCTATGTAGGCTCAACGAGAGAAATTAATGTTCCAAGTCTGAAAAATCACTTTTTCTTCAGGCGGACAGACAACATGCACAACTCGGTTCTCAGTAGATACGCTACATTAATAACCCTCCTCACACTGCTGCCAGGTGTCAGTTCATCACTGTCTCCATGACTTACCCGCTTGTCTGTTTTGGGCAGAAAACAGGACCCCTACCCCCAATCTTTGAATAGGCACCCCCTATTAATGTCAATCTGCTGAGCAAATTGCAAATGGTTCAGTTTTTCTTGGACGCCATCTTGCGGGGTATTTTCACTTGTGGTTGTCCATTCAGAAATATGTGTGGGGGGGGGGGGGGGGGTGTAGATGTGTGAAGGCTTGTCCACCAGCTGAGTTAGGAGCTGTCAAGAATATGGACACTCACAGTTTCAGCAGGCCTCACATGGTATTACAGAAGCTAAATGACTTTTAACTCAACATATTTGTGGTGTTTGTGATTGTAATACCATAGCCTACATGTAGCTAGGCCCCACAATCACCCGACCTCAACCCAATTGAGATGGTTTGGGATGAGTTCGACCGCAGAGTGACAGAAAAGCAGCAAAAACAAAAAGCAGCCAACAAGTGATCAGCATATGTGGGAACTCCTTCAAGACTATTGGAAAAGCATTCCAGGTGAAGCTGGTTGAGAGAATGCCAAGAGTGTGCAAAGCTGTCATCAAGGCAAAGGGTGGCTACTTTGAAGAATCCCAAATATAACATATATTTTGATTTGTTCAACACTTTTTTTGGTTACTACATGATTCCATGTGTGTTATTTCATAGTTTTGATGTCTTCACTATTATTCTACAATGTAGAAAATAGTAAAAATAAAGAAAAACCCTTGAATGAGTAGGTGTGTCCAAACTTTTGACTGGTATTGTATGTTGAAAAAGCCAAAGCTATCTAATGAAAATCTGTCCTATTCAGCCACATGAGAAACAGCTGTCAAGATGACTCCCCTTCAGTGATTCTAGTTGGGATAGATCTTACAATACTACAGCAGAGTTGGAACCTAATGACTGACTGAAATTGGGCATGGTTTGATGGCACAAAGACTTGAACTAGCCTATGCTTGACTGTTTTGACTTACAGTGCCTTAAAGTATTCACACCCCTTAACCTTTTCCACATTTTGTTATGTTACAAAGTGGGATTAAAATTGATTTAATTGGTTAACGATCTACACAAATTACTCTGTCAAATTGATTATTTTTTTTCAATTGGTAAAATATGATGATAATAATATTGATTTAGATAAGTATTCAACCTCCTGAGTCAATGCATGTTAGAATCACCTTTGGCAGCGATTACAGCTGTGTCTTTCTGGGTAAGCCTCCAACAGCTTTCCACACCTGGATTGTACAACATTTGTCAATTTATTATTTTCAAAATTCCAATTAAAATTGGTTGTTGATCATTGCTAGACAACCATTTTCAGGTCTTGCCTTAGATTTTCAAACAGATTTAATTCAAAACTGTAACTCGGCCACTCAGGAACATTCACTGTCTTCTTGGTAAACGACTCCAAATCAAATTATATTGGTCACATACACGTGTTTAGCAGATGTTATTGCGGGTGTAGTGAAATGCTTGTGCCTCTAGCTCCGACAGTGCAGTAATATCGAACAAGTAATATCTAACAATTTCACAAAATACCCAATACACACAAATCTAAGTAAGGAATGAATTAAGAATCTATACATATATGGACGAGCGATGTCAGAGTGGCATGGTCTAAGATACCGTAGAATAGTATAGAATACAGTACAGTCATGGTCAAAAGTTTTGAGAATGACACAAATATTAATTTTCACAAAGTCTGCTGCCTCAGTTTTTATGATGGCAATTTGCATATACCCCAGAATGTTGTGAAGAGTGATAAGATTAATTGCAAAGTCCCTCTTTGCCATGAAAATGAACTTAATCCCCAAAAAACATTTCCACTGCATTTCAGCCCTGCCACAAAAGGACCAGCTGACATCATGCCAGTGATTATTTCGTTAACACTGGTGAGAGTGTTGACGAGGACAAGGCTGGAGATCACTCTGTCATGCGGATTGAGTTAGAATAACAGACTGGAAGCTTTAAAAGGAGGGTGGTGCTTGAAATCATTGTTCTTCCTCTTAACCATGGTTACCTGCAAGGAAACACATGCCGTAATCATTGCTTTGCACAAAAAGGGCTTCACAGGCAAGGATATTGCTGCTAGTAAGATTGCACCTAAACCAACCATTTATCGGATCATAAGAACTTCAAGGAGAGAGGTTCAATTGTTGTGAAGAAGGCTTCAGGGCACCCAAGAAAGTCCAGCAAGCGCCAGGACCGTCTCCTAAAGTTGATTCAGCTGCAGGATCAGGGCACCACCAGTGCAGAGCTTGCTCAGGAATGGCAGCAGGCAGGTGTGAGTGCGTCTGCACGCGCAGTGAGGCGAAGACTTTTGGAGGATGGCCTGGTGTCAAGAAGGGCAGCGAGGAAGCCACTTCTCTCCAGGAAAATCATCAGGGACAGACTGATATTGTGCAAAAGGTACTGGGATTGGACTGCTGAGGACTGGGGTAAAGTCATTTTCTTTGATGAATCCCCTTTCAGATTGTTTGGGGCATCCGAAAAAAGCTTGTCCGGAGAAGACAAGGTGAGCGCTACCATCAGTCCTGTGTCATGCCAACAGTAAAGCATCCTTAGACCATTCATGTGTGGGGTTGCTTCTCAGCCAAGGGAGTGGGCTCACTCACAATTTTGCCTAAGAACACAGCCATGAATAAAGAATGGTACCAACACATCCTCAGAGAGCAACTTCTCCCAACCATCCAAGAACAGTTTGGTGACGACCAATGCCTTTTCCAGCATGATGGAGCACCTTGCCACGAGGCAAAAGTGAAACTAAGTGGCTCGGAGAACAAAACATCGACATTTTGGGTCCATGGCCAGGAAAGTCCCCAGACCGTAATGCCATTTGAGAACTTGTGGTCAATCCTCAAGAGGCGGGTGGACAAACAAAAACCCACAAATTCTAACAACCTCCAAGCATTGATTATGCAAGAATGGGCTGCCATCAGTCAGGATGTGGCCCAGAAGTTAATTGACAGCATGCCAGGGCAGATTGCAGAGGTCTTGAAAAAGAAGGGACAACAATGCAAATATTGACTCTTTGCATAAACTAAATGTAATTGTCAATAAAAGCCTTTAACCCTTATGGAATGCTTGTAATTATACTTCAGTATACCATAGTAATATCTGACAAAAATATAAAAAAACACTGAAGCAGCAAACTTTGTGAAGACCAATACTTGAGTCATTCTCAACTTTTGACCACGACTGTATACAGTGAGAGGGAAAAAAGTATTTGATCCCCTGCTTATTTTGTACGTTTGCCCACTGACAAAGACATGATCAGTCTAAGTTTAATGGTAGGTTTATTTGAACAGTGAGAGACAGAATAACAACAAAAAAATCCAGAAAAACGCATGTCAAAAATGTTATACATTCATTTGCATTTTAATGAGGGAAATAAGTATTTGACCCCTCTGCAAAACATGACTTAGTACTTGGTGGCAAAACCCTTTTTGGCAATCAGAGGTCAGACGTTTCTTGTAGTTGGCCACCAGGTTTGCACACATCTCAGGAGGGATTTTGTTCCACTCGTCTTTGCAGATCTTCTCCAAGTCATTAAGGTTTCGAGGCTGACGTTTGGCAACTTGAACCTTCAGCTCCCTCCACAGATTTTCTATGGGATTAAGGTCTGGGGACTGGCTAGGCCACTCCAGGACCTTAATGTGCTTCTTCTTGAGCTACTCCTTTGTTGCCTTGACCGTGTGTTTTGGGTCATTGTCATGCTGGAATACCCATCCACAACCCATTTTCAATGCCCTGGCTGAGGGAAGGAGGTTCTCACCCAAGATTTGACGGTACATGGCCCCGTCCATCGTCCCTTTGATGCGGTGAAGTTGTCCTGTCCCCTTAGCAGAAAAACATCCCCAAAGCATAATGTTTCTTCCTCCATGTTTGATGGTGGGGATGGTGTTCTTGGGGTCATAGGCAGCATTCCTCCTCCTCCAAACACGGCGAGTTGAGTTGATGCCAAAGAGCTCCATTTTGGTCTCATCTGACCACAACACGTTCACCCAGTTCTCCTCTGAATCATTCAGATGTTCATTGACAAACTTCAGACGGGCATGTATATGTGCTTTCTTGAGCAGGGGGACCTTGCGGGCGCTGCAGGATTTCAGTCCTTCACGGCGTAGTGTGTTACCAATTTGTTTTCTTGGTGACTATGGTCCCAGCTGCCTTGAGATCATTGACAAGATCCTCCCGTGTAGTTCTGGGCTGATTCCTCACCGTTCTCATGATTATTGCAACTCCACGAGGTGAGATATTGCATGGAGCCCCATGCCGAGGGAGATTGACAGTCCTTGTGTGTTTCTTCCATTTGCGAATAATCGCACCAACTGTTGTCACCTTCTCACCAAGCTGCTTGGTGATGGTCTTGTTGCCCATTCCAGCCTTGTGTAGGTCTACAATCTTGTCCCTGACATCCTTGGAGAGCTCTTTGGTCTTGGCCATGGTGGAGAGTTTGGAATCTGATTGATTGCTTCTGTGGACAGGTGTCTTTTTATACAGGTAACAAGCTGAGATTAGGAGCACACTCTTAAAGGGAGTGCTCCTAATATCAGCTTGTTACCTGTATAAAAGACACCTGTGAGCCAGAACTCTTTCTGATTGAGAGGGGGTCAAATACTTATTTCCCTCATTAAAATGCAAATCAATTTATAACGTTTTTTGACATGGATTTTTTTTGTTGTTATTCTGTCTCACTGTTCAAATAAACCTACCATTAAAATTATAGACTGATCATTTCTTTGTCAGTGGGCAAATGTACAAAATCAGCAGGGGATCAAATACTTTTTTCCCTCACTGTAAGTGACATGGCGTTTTGGAGTTCTTGTGGCAGTTAGAGGCTGTAGTTCAGATGCATGACTCGTCTACCCAGACACCTGTTTTATTTTTACAGTCAGGCCAGTTTTGCGAGACAACAGCTTTAGCTTATCCCACACTAATTACAATGGCTAGGATAAACATCTTCCCAATCAGTGTTATCTTTTTTTAAATTGAGAAAAGTCATGGGCCCAGTTCATTTGGAGTTATGGAATGGGCCTAGTTGTCATACAGAACACCACTCCAACACTCAAGCTTGTTCATAAGGCTTGAATTCAATTGGTTTAGTTGTTCGCTTAGCATGATCTTTCTCTCTCTCTGTTTCAGACGTCACTCGCCACCAGGTTTGCGCAGGAGGCCTTTGGGAAACAGTACAAACAAACCATTGGCCTGGATTTCTTTCTGAAGAGAATAACTCTGCCAGGTAAGACACTTTCATCCTTTAGGATTGCTGGCCTGCTCTGTACCACACCACAGATACAGGCATACACTTGCACATGCATGCACACACACGGTAACACGTGCACATACTGAACTTTACCTGTTAAAGGCACATTGATGTAAGATGCTGCAGTGTCTGACTTTAAATCTCTTGAATACTGCTTATGCATATCTAAAAGTATTTAGATATCATTAAAGTAGCCTTAATTAGTTTGCCAATTTTAGTTTGTGCACAATTTTAATTTTTTATTTTCTACACAAAGGAATTTGAATTTCTCAATTTCTTTGCAAATGATAAAAAACGATGTTGTTCCTTCCCTAGCATTTCAGGGTAGAACCAAACAATTTTGTTCCTCAGGTTATCTCAGGACTGAATGTGTCTTTCTTGGTAGCACCACATTGTGGAGAGTCTTCCTGTTCTCAGCCTTATTCATTCTGAAATCTGTTCTCTCTAGAGCAAACACCAGGCTTTTTTCCGTCTATGAAGCCAATGGACAGCTTATGTCCAGAGAGGCGAGCTTTACACATTATGTGGGCACTGTAGAGAGTAAATACATTTTAGCATTTTATATTCCTATCATTGATCCTGGGGTTCAACTGATCTTTGTTCTGCACCACATAAAACATTCATGTTCTTATTTGTTTACTTTCAAACCCACAAAATAAAGCCTTGGTCTGTATCCCCTTGGATGTGTAAAATAAATGTTTGACTAATGCTATATTTAGACTAAAGCCCTCCGATTTCACTTCCTACCATATGAAATTGGGATTTTCACCATTTGAAATTGCATATTTAAAACGGTGCCAATGCATAAAGCTGTAAAAGTCTGCAAAATAGCTCCATTCTTTTATGACTAATAAGGGTGGATTAAGTACAAAAATAAATATATGATAAGTTGAAAGTGTTACATTCAGTCCTATATTCAGTTTCAGTTGGTAATAGTAGGAGAAAGAAAACATTAAACGTTTTAGTAGAGATCATTTGGCAGACCTTCGTGAAAGTTGGGAAACGCAAGGCTTCAATGAGAAATCCCACAAATGACGCCAATCTTAGGTATTGTGATTCTGGTAAAACTAGTTGAAAAGCATTACTGATATGCAGCATGGCAAGATGGGGCCTATTCCCTAATCCATCTGTATCAATATCATAGATATAATAATAGTAAACGTTGGTTCAACACCAGAGTTGTTAAATGGAACATTTTGTGGGGGATTGGGTGTTGATGACCTGATGAAGAGAAGGGCTGGGTCTGCCGTTTGGTTGGTCCTTCTGAGCTTCGTTAGGATCCCCGCCTTCGACTGGATGTGTTGTGTGGGTTTCTGGGGCTCTATGGGTTTCTCCAAAATGAGGGGGGGGGGAGAGTATAGCTTGCGCTGGCTCCTCTCACCATGAAGGCTCGGCTTGTCAAACTTAATGTACATTTTCCAACGCCGGGAAAGGTGATGCGAGGCCGATTTGGCGCACACAACAGCCTCCTCTGTGTGTGCTTTTTATAACAATACCTCTTCCAGATGTCTCGTCCGCTAAATTGGTGGGGGGAGCGATTGACCTGTGATGGATATTAACTTCATAATTTTAGCTAGTCTTGTCAATTTGAATCTTACTGAAGATCACGCAAATTCTCAATGTTCGCTTTTGAAGCAAAATGTTACTGTTTTAATTGTGAATTTATTGGGTTCCACTGAACAGTGCTAATAGCTAGTGAAGAATTCTAAGAACACAAACGGCCTCTAACCACCAAATAAGCAGGAAGACTTTGGGTCTGTCGAGTCAGCTTGAGTCTTTGAAACACACACAATGTTTATGTCCGAGTGCAGAGGATGGGTGGGGATAGCTCACATAGTGTAACACCAAGGGCAGTTATTCATTGCACTCTTCAATGTAGCTTTACAATGACACTGTATAGTCTAGATGTAGTCACTGTGAACACTTGTGCTTCCTTCCTCTGTGAAACCGGGACTTGTGTGGTGGGGGTCGGCTCGTCCAGCCGTGTCCACACTGTACGCTCGGCTCACCATCAGCGCTCTAGGCCAAGGAAGGGCCCTCATCACAACGACAAACTCCTCACTGTCTGGTCCTCCCCTCCTTCTTTTCTCAACCACCCCTTTCATTTTCCAGAGGAATAAAATATTTATTTGGATTTGGTTTTGTACCCAGTCTCTCGCTCTTTCCCTACCTCCCTCCTACATAAATTGGGACAGGAGTTTTCTTTTGCTTCTTATTTTGTTTAATTATCAGTATTTTTCTTAACACCACATATATTTCTCCTCAGTCTCCTCGACTTGGCTGAGAACGGCACAATGCCAACAGCTATTCCAAGGCTAATAAGTGCTAGTTTTTTTGGCCGGGGTATTGAGAATGTTTAAATTACAGGGTAAGCATACCTATTTATCCCCCTGAATCTCTCCGCTGGATATTCTTGGATGTGGAGCGTGTGTGACCTGCCAGAGGCGAGCAGTTAAAAATGAAAGATTAATATCTGATTTATTGTTTCCAATATCTACATGTGTTTCCATCGCATTTAACTCTACCGATAGTTTTGTCACAAAAACTGTTGCGTTAAATAGCAAATGTGCCTACTCTGGTCTTGGCACGTGCGCTCTAGCTAACAGATACAGTGCGGGTAGGCTAGTCTACATGATGAGATTATTATGGTTGAGTGAGAATATTTTTTTGTCAAGCATTGATCATCATGTCCCCAGAATAAGACCCTCAATATTTATTGGAAAGGAGCATCAAACTCATCACCGTGCACTTTCACCACCCTATGAAGTTCATAAACTTATTTTAATCTGTAGCATAATAAACTGCATGGTTTCCCGAGTCATAGTGGGAGGACCACACACCATATCATCATATGACTCCAAATTTACTTCGATATGATGGTTATTATATCAATATTTGCACATAAAGGTGTTTCCATCGCCATTTATCGCATAATTAATTTGACCGACACATAAAGATCCTATCATGTCGAACGAACAAATTTGTCGGCATTTATAAAATTGCACCGACACTTCCTGTTTTCCATCACAGCTGTTGTGATAATTTTTTATACGGTATAACTTAACTCGCGTAAAAACTGTGGATGGAAACGTTAATAAAGTCCTTTCATAATTTACTGATTTTAAGTTTCAAAATGTTCTCTTCCCTCAGGCAACTTGAATGTTACTTTGCAAGTGTGGGATATTGGAGGTCAAACGATCGGAGGGAAAATGCTGGATAAATATGTCTACGGGGCTCAGGTACTATAACACACACACACACACACACACACACACACACACACACACACACACACACACACACACACGTTTGTTTTACTATCCCTGCGGGGACCAAACAATTGATTCCCATTCAAAATCCTATTTCCCTTAACCTAATACTAACCTTAACCCCTAAACATAACCCTAAACCTAACCCCTAAGCCACAAATAGCCTTTTTCCTTGTGGGGACCGGCGAAATATCCCCACTTGTCTGGAATTTCCTTGTTTAACTATCCTTGTGATGACTTCCGGTCCCCACAAGGATAGTAAAACCAAAAGAACACACACACACTCAATAAACGCTGAGGTGGTCCGTCGTTCTTCATGTTAGAGCTCTGAACTTTTTAACTGTTATCATTTACAATGTAATAGGGTTTTCCTATTTGGCTTGGGTAATTAATACGCCTTTATGATAATATTAGTGCAACAGGACCCTGCGCAGACTGCAGCCAAGTTTTACTTCTTAGCTGGTCATACGGATTACATTTATGTATAGTATGAAGGGGAGTGAGAAATATCTTTCTCTCTCCTCGCTCCCTTCCCCTGCTGTTTCTCACTCTAATTTCATTATTTATGAGCAAAATAAGTTAGTGTTCGTGTTGACACTGCAATAACAAGTGGGTGGGAGTATTTTATTTGTGCGTTTGCCGCACTCCACTAGACAACATCCATAAATGGTTGTTGCTATATAGGCTACCATTATCTGTCACCCACAGCAACAGTCTACGCTCTCAAAGCTGCACTTACATTTTACATTTACATTTTAGTCATTTAGTAGACGCTCTTATCCAGAGCGACGTACAGTTAGTGAGTGCATACATTTTTCATACTGGCCCCCCGTGGGAATCGAACCCACAACCCTGGCGTTGCAAGCGCCATGCTCTACCAACTGAAACTACACGGGAGGCTCAGTTGTACTTGTTTGAAGAGGTATAGATATAGCTATAGGTCTGGTCTAGCTGAAGAGCATGGGGCCTGTATGGGATGTAGAGAATAAGACAGAGACAACACTTGGCTGTTATGTGTAGGTCGGTCATGTCTGTCTCTGTACTGTAATACCTCCTCAGCCGCCCCACTCACTCACACAAAAACAAGGTGTCGTCCATCAATGCCACACTAGAAAACTTTGCTCCTCGGGTTTCTCACAAGCTCTTTATGGGGCTTTCACGACCATTGTTCTACGCGCCACGGGCGATAATCAATCATACACATTGGGAGCACTGCACTGTAATTGTAACTGACGCAAACTGTCGTCACCGGACTTCTGTGTTGTGACATTGCGTGTCCTGGGCCAGACGCATCCTGAAGAAAAAAAGAGCTGTATTCTGTTTCATGATGATGCAATCAAAGTCGAGGTAGTCTATTTATTCTGACTCCTTTTCATATTCTATAGTCTTTTGGATTGGTAAAGAGCAGACTTATGACACAATTTTGGCACTTGAGGCTTTTGTACACTGAAGTGTTTCAATTTGTTTACATAAAAAAATGGTACAGCAGCCAGCTTTAACGGCCTCTTTTTATTCCGACGGACACCTTTTTGTGCTTTGCCATACGACTGATTCCGGTTTTACACCTGACAATACCTTCAGATAAGACAAAGGGAGAGCGGTGAGGCCTGTCTGTTAACTCCCTCACGTTTGAGCTTTTCTACGCAACTGCTTCCGCCTTTGTACTTATGCTGACAATACTTACACTAAGTATTTCGACGAAGGGAGGGAGATGAGACCTCACTTTTATTTGTAAGCCCAGACACCTTTTGTGACACAGAGATAACCCAACCTCACCCCTATCCTGCCTTCCTATGTGTGTTTGGCTGGGTGGACAAATCTCTGTGGTCCCCCTCGCCTCGATGCCCGCAGACAGACCGATTATAGCATAGACTTAGTGGCTCAGCTGTATGTTCTTAGCATGTCTCTCTGCATCTGTTAACAGCGATATAGATCATCATTAATCCCAGGCTAGCTCAGAGAGAGCAGAGGAGGTGCCAACTCCTTGGGGACTGTGTTTGTGTGTGTGGAGGAGCAATTGACTTCTCTCAGACACTAGTGCCACCTACTGCTCACTTTCCCACATTCGACCTATCTGGCATGATTGTTCTCATCTTATGTCAAATGTAATTCATTTTGTAATGTTGTGATTAAGCTACACCATTTTAGACTTTCTGTGGTATTGTTTTTCAGGGCGTTCTTCTAGTGTACGACATTACAAACTACCAGAGCTTTGAGAATCTGGAGGACTGGTACGGCATGGTCAAGAAGGCCAATGAAGAGTCAGACGTCCAGCCGGTGGTCTCACTGGTGGGAAACAAAAGTGAGTATTTAAAACACATCTCTCTGACACACACACACTAGTTATATTCCTTTCTTCTGCTCATAGGCCACACACCTACGTACCATAAGAGACTAAAGCAGACGAGTCAACCATAATGTATAAACGCAGAGAGCTGTGAAGAGAATGCGATTTACAATGCAGTAAAGATAAATCACTAGTTTCTCTGATGGCTAAATGTTTTATTCACGCTTTTATACACTGCAGTCTTTTATACACTGCATGTATTTGCAGTACAGCACAACCATATTACTGTATCCAGCTCTATTTTGCTAGACACTGGAAATTGATTTGTCTATTGGGGCTGTTGATTATTCACTTCCTGTTCTGTCTCGACTCCTCGTGTGTGTGTGTGTGTGTGTGTGTGTAAGATAGCTAGGTGAGGAAAAATGTACTTACTACGACTAGAGAACGACCAATAATCGGCAGAGCCAATGTATTGGGGCGATATTGTCAATCGGCCCTTCTCTATCGGCTTTACCGATAGTCCCTTTACATAGCAAAACTGCGGCTATGTCAAACGCCACTCACCGCCTGAGCCACGAGCACTGCACAATGCCGAAGAATGTCTAGCTGGGAAAATCAGCAGCAAGCTAGCTTATTCTCCAACCGAAAGGTACAGTATTGAGAAACGGATGAATTGACACATTGACCAAAATCAAACTCCTGTAACAACAAACATTTGTTTAGTTAATTCACTAATAATAAGGCTTGTGTCGACATGTCAGGACATGCATGCAATAAGCAAGCTAGCTAGCTATGTGACATGTTAGCAAAGATTATGATAATTAGCTAACTCTTTCATCTGTGGTGTTAGCTAGGTAGCTATAATAGCTACTATGCTAGCTACAGTGGGGAAAAAAAGTATTTAGTCAGCCACCAATTGTGCAAGTTCTCCCACTTAAAAAGATGAGGCCTGTAATTTTCATCATAGGTACACGTCAACTATGACAGACAAAATGAGAATTTTTTTTCCAGAAAATCACATTGTAGGATTTTTTATGAATTTATTTGGTCAATAACAAAAGTTTCTCAATACTTTGTTATATACCCTTTGTTGGCAATGACACAGGTCAAACGTTTTCTGTAAGTCTTCACAAGGTTTTCACACACTGTTGCTGGTATTTTGGCCCATTCCTCCATGCAGATCTCCTCTAGAGCAGTGACGTTTTGGGGCTGTCGCTGGGAACACGGACTTTCAACTCCCTCCAAAGATTTTCTATGGGGTTGAGATCTGGAGACTGGCTAGGCCACTTCAGGACCTTGAAATGCTTCTTACGAAGCCACTCCTTCGTTGCCCGGGCGGTGTGTTTGGGATCATTGTCATGCTGAAAGACCCAGCCACGTTTCATCTTCAATGCCCTTGCTGATGGAAGGAGGTTTTCACTCAAAATCTCACGATACATGGCCCCATTCATTCTTTCCTTTACACGGATCAGTCGTCCTGGTCCCTTTGCAGAAAAATGGCCCCAAAGCATGATGTTTCCACCCCCATGCTTCACAGTAGGTATGGTGTTCTTTGGAGATAACTCAGCATTCTTTGTCCTCCAAACACGACGAGTTGAGTTTTTACCAAAAAGTTATATTTTGGTTTCATCTGACCATATGACATTCTCCCAATCCTCTTCTGGATCATCCAAATGCACTCTAGCAAACTTCAGACGGGCCTGGACATGTACTGGCTTAAGCAGGGGGACACGTCTGGCACTGCAGGATTTGAGTCCCTGGCGGCGTAGTGTGTTACTGATGGTAGGCTTTGTTACTTTGGTCCCAGCTCTCTGCAGGTCATTCACTAGGTCCCCCCGTGTGGTTCTGGGATTTTTGCTCACCGTTCTTGTGATCATTTTGACCCCACGGGGTGAGATCTTGCGTGGATACCCAGATCGAGGGAGATTATCAGTGGTCTTGTATGTCTTCCATTTCCTAATAATTGCTCCCACAGTTGATTTCTTCAAACCAAGCTGCTTACCTATTGCAGATTCAGTCTTCCCAGCCTGGTGCAGGTCTCCAATTTTGTTTCTGGTGTCCTTTGACAGCTCTTTGGTCTTGGCCATAGTGGAGTTTGGAGTGTGACTGTTTGAGGTTGTGGACAGGTGTCTTTTTATACTGATAACAAGTTCAAACAGGTGCCATTAATACAGGTAACGAGTGGAGGACAGAGGAGCCTCTTAAAGAAGAAGTTACAGGTCTGTGAGAGCCTGAAATCTTGCTTGTTTGTAGGTGACCAAATACTTATTTTCCACCATAATTAGCAAATAAATTCATAAAAAATCCTACAATGTGATTTTCTGGAAATATCTTTTTCTCAATTTGTCTGTCAAAGTTGACGTGTACCTATGATGAAAACTACAGGCCTCTCATCTTTTTAAGTGGGAGAACTTGCACAATTGGTGGCTGACTAAATACTTTTTTCCCCCACTGTATATTAGCTACTATGCTAGCTAGCTGGCTAGGTAAACATGGTGCTAAGGTATCAGATAGGAGTCAATAGCCAATGTAGTTATCTAACATTAGTTGGTTATCATTTTAAACCTGCAGCATTTTCGGAAATGAGCCATCTGACTTGCGTTGTAACGTTAACAATTTCCTGTTGTGCTAATCTGACCAGCCGCAATCGTATCCGTAAATTGACAGTTGATAGTCGGATTAGATGATTGTCGTAATAGGGAAAAAAGGAAGTGTTTTAAAATGCCTAAATAAAAGTTGGCAATAGGTTTAGCTACCTAAGAATCTCGCTTCATGTTTATGAATCACGAAAGCTCAGCGCACGTGTTTGCGTTCTCACTTAAACTATGGGCAGATTTGAGTCATTCAGACAGAATGTGCATTGTCGTTTCATCATTTTTCCTACCCTCACTCTCCTTGTTAGCTATTATGCACATTTATGGCTTGGTAGCAAATGTCATCGCCATTGAGCTAGTTCTCATAGTGTGAGGAGATGTGAAAGGGAGCAGAGTTAGAGCCTTGCTCTATCCAATCGTAGCAGTAGGATCAACTTACAACCGGCCCATTTCTTGACAGATAGCTGAACTAGCCAATTGAGTTGTTTAAAATGTTGTCCTGGCAGCCGAGTTGTTTAGATGCGTTCCTATGACTAAAAATACTAGTTTCATAAGCATCCGTGATCACAAATCATGACCTTATGTTGGACAAATTTGCATTGAATATATGTTATTTTATATTCTTAAACTAACATCAGTGCCTATATGATGTCCTTCCATACAGGCGTGGCATGCTGGAGTGATTGTTCTATGCAAATGTTGATCAGTAGGCTAATAAAAGTCCAAAGTGGAAGACAAACAGATTGTCATCTGTAGCACCATAGACTCCACTGATCAGCCAAAACAAGCTCAATAACTCAATGCATGCCCACACTCCTATTGAATATGATTTACCATTCAAATAAAATGATTATCATTATTTTGTTATGTAGTTAGATTGGTAAAAACAAAGTGATATTTATTGTTAGATTTTTTAAAATTGATGCATTAATGCATACATGGCTGTCTCTGGGAAAGTTTGTCATCAAAATGTTCAAATTTAATGATATTGAATATCGGCCTTCTCTAACTACGACTGTGATATGTGGTTGTCTCACCTAGCTATCTTACGATGAATGCACCAACTGGATAAGAGCGTCTGCTAAATGACTAAAATGTAAATGTGTGTTGCAACCGATAATACCAGATAGGCCTTTGTGTGTTAGGGCTCAAGCTAATTATTGTGTTGCGATTAAGCTAATTGATAGCGAGGAGCAGGGTCTCCTGGGGCGATCGGAACGGTGATGTTTGCTTGCTCTGGGATGTGACTCTCTGTGATTTAGCACTCTGGTCCGTTTGCTACCAGGGCTACCTCTTCTACTCTAACTCCATCCCCCCTGTCCTCCAACATCCCAGCCCGGACACCGCTTTGGATGAGGAGAGAATCTTAGATGATAACCAGACAACACCTCCCCCAGTCCGTCCCTCTCGAAAAAAAAAATAGACTAATAATGATTACTCTCCTTTTTTTAAACATCCCCTCTGACCGATGGGGAGACATTGTTGCCGCCGTGTTATTGTAAAGTACGCACACACACAGCCCCATTGCGTGTGTAATGATGGCTATCGACTGTCCCGCATTGAACCCCCCCCCCACTCTTCCTCCGCCCCAATGATGAACGGCCCACAGAGTGGTGTCTACTCAGGAAGCCTCTCGCTAATGTTACTCAACCCGGGCCTTTAGGTCAGGGCTTAATACGCCAGGCTAGCATGGGGATTCTCTTGTCTTCGCATTAGGGCACATCTCTTAATGCCCAGGCCTAACAGCAGGCGCCTCCGTATTTAGGCTACATTTTGTATACTGCCGGTGAGTGTGTCTGTGTAAGTGCATTTGTATAGTGTGTGTCAATGTGTGTACTGTAATATGTATTTAAGCAGTGTATACCCCACTGTCAGGGTCTCCCCCTCGCCCACTCAGTCAGTCTGCTCTTACTGGCCATAGTGCTGAGAATCGCCTGTGTGTGTTTTTTCTGCTCCTACAGTCCGCAAAGAAAAACAAAATCCCACACAGATTGCCCTACCAGGAGCAATCAATTACCTAGCGAGACTTTATGAATCCCTGAACCCTCTCACAGACTCTGGGCATGAAGAGAGACTTAGTCTAGCGTTCTTGTGGGAATTGCACACACAGACGTTTCTGTTTTTCTATTCTTTTTTTTTCTTCTTTTTTTTACCGAGTGCCCGGCCATCGGCCAGTTACAATGAATAGAACAAAAAATATACACCGTTCTTGGGGCGGGCGCGGCGCTGTTGAGATTTTGTGTTGTAGGTTCCCATGAAATCCAAATGAGTGGAGCAGCCACCAATCCTCAGACCATGTTTATGACAACTGAAATAGAACGACGAACCTAACCAGGAGTTTATAGCAAGATCATCTGCACTATACAAATGTATGTCCACGAGAGGGCATGTCTTCTGGGAGATCCCTTCTCTCACTTAACCACTGACATGTTTTAGTGTTTCCCTTCATCATTCACTCTCACTTACCATATATGCAGTACTAGTGCGTTATCGACTCAAGTTGCTTTTGGAGGTCTACACTATCCTGTACGAACAATCTGACAGGGACAGTATGACCCCCACCATTTATTCTTACCTATGCAGTGCTTTTGAGACAGCCGCTAATAAGAACCCTCCCCCTTTATCTTTGCCAAACCTCAGTATACTAATTGAGCTTGTAAACTAAACTGATGTTCTTTATTTAGTATGCTGTTGTTCCCTCCTCTCCTTACCCTGGCCTGACTGACCGCCCTCCTGTGCCATTTGGCAAGTGGGGAACAGCCTCCCCATTCTTCTGCTTAACACGGCCGTCTAGTGATAAGTTTGCTTGTTAAGGCCGGCGTTGTGCACCCCTTGCCCTACACATGCTGCCCATACTCTTATGTTAAATAATGGCACCACTTGTAACAATTCAGGGAGGAAGCCAATGAAATATTTGATTGAGGACACACACATACACACAAAAATGCACGCACACAGAAACACACACCGTGCACACAGAAACACAAACACTGTGCGCACGCACACTCACACAGAGAAACGTAGAGGCACTCAAAAACATAGACACTGAAACACTTGCAGAGGGTGGGCTTTGCTGGGAAAGCATGGGTAATGGAAGAATGCTAAGCTCTTGGTCTGTCTAAACATACTATAACTGTTTATTTCAGCACGGCCCAGTTTAACACCGTATGGTACACAGGATCCTTTCAGGAAAATGTAGACTTCATATGCATGCAGTCTCCTGCACTCACGAAGATAGTGTTTTCCTATATTATTCAAAATTATGTTTGATTTTTTAAATGAGTTTTACTGTCATACAACTTATGAATTACTGATTGATAGTCTTAAGGGTGATTGTTGGGCTAGTTTAAGACCTGTGGTTCGTGAAGCAAAAGGTGTCGTGCTGTGTGAGGACATGATGTAAATGTTTTCACCTCTAGGTTTAAGATGGCACCATTTTAAATAAATGATCTGGTACTTTTGTATTCTTTTTAGCTAGTAGTTCTGAAAGTAGCGCACACGAGCAAAAGTTGGTCCCCGAAAATTGCGTATTTTGTCACGTGCACCACGTCATTGCCCTCTCGCTCTGCTGTGTGTGCATCTTGCTAGCTGTCACTAAAATGGCGAGGGGCTGAACCTCATTTGCTAGAACTCTAATTGCTGGCCCAAATGTTGGGAAAATGGCGCAGCACAGCTTCCAGAAAAACGGTTGCTTCAAACTTGCTTCGGCTCATAGATTATGCATGTAAAAATGCTGTTCATTGACTACAGCTCAGCATTCAACACCATAGTCCCCTCCAAAATCATCACAAAGCTCAGGACCCTGGCACTGAACACCTCCCTCTGCAACTGGATCCTGGACTTGCTAATGGGCCGCCCCCAGGCGGCTAGGGTAAGCAACAACACATCCGCCACGCTGACCATGAACACAGGGGCTTCTCAACGGTGTGTGCGCATTATACTCCTGTACTCATTTTTTACATTTTTGTCATTTAGCAGACGCTCTTATCCAGAGCGACTTAGTTAGTGAGTGCATACATTTTTTTTATATACTGGAATCGAACCCACAACCCTGGCGTTGCAAATGCCATGCTCTACCAACTGAGCTACATCCCTGCCGGCCATTCCCTCCCCTACCCTGGACGACGCTGGGCCAATTGTGCGCCGCCCAATGGGTCTCCCGGTCGCGGCCGGCTACGACAGAGCCCTATTCACCCACGACTGCTTCGCCACGCACAACTCCAACACTGACATTAAGTTTGCTGATGACACGAATATGGTAGGACTGATCACAGACAACGATGAAGCAGCCTATAGGAAGAAGTCAGAGACCTGGCAGTGTGGTGCCAGGACAACAACCTCTCCCTCAACGTCAGTAAGACAAAGTAGCTGATCGTGGACTACAGAAAACGGAGGGGCGAGCAAGCCCCCATCCACATCGATGGAGCTGCAGAGGAGTGGTTTGAGAGCTTCAAGTTACTCGTTGTCCCCATTTACTAGTTGTGAAGAGGGCACGACAGCGCCTCTTACCCCTCAGGAGGCTGAAAAGATTTAGCATGGGCCCTCAAATCCTCAAGTTCTACAGCTGCACCATTGAGAGCATCTGCAAGGCACCTGACCGCAAGGCGCTACAGAGGGTGGTGAGTATGGTCTAGTACATCACTGGGGCCGAGTTCCCTGCCATCCAGGACCTCTATACCAGGTGGTGTCAGAGGAAGGCCCAAACAATTATCAGACTCCAGCCACCCAAGCCATAGATTGTTCTCTCTGCTACCGCACGGAAAGCAATACAAGTGCACCAAGTCTGGAACCAACAGGACCATGAACAGCTTCTACCCCCCCCCCCCCCCCCCCCCCCCCAAGCCATAAGACTGCTAAACAAGACTGCTAAATAGCTAATCAAATGGCTACCCAGACTACCTGCATTGACTCCTTTTTCTGCACTAACTATCTTGCACTGACTCTATGCAGACACACTGGACTCTACCCACACATACTGACATCCCAACACACATACACACACTACATACCTGCCTGGCTACCCAAACTCCTTGCTCCGGCCAAATGCTACGCCACGCCCACAGACGTTAGTTTCTTCTCCACATCCGAGTACCTTCCCGACGATTTCTAGAAAGTAAACGCATTCTAATTGTTCTGATTCGTCCAGAAACGATGGTTTGGGCCCGATCCAGAAAATGTGTCGTTGTCTTTTATAGAGATGATCCAATCGCTGATGACTTGCTTTTGTACAACACCCCTCATTTTGACATCACCACAAACGACTTCAACGATGGCAGTCTAAGACCTGAATCACTGTATCTAGCGAACATGGAGCAGTGGAAGAATTCAGTTTGAGTCATCAGGCAAACCATATACGCCCACACATACAACACGTGCACACATGCATACTTGACGACTCACACGCACTTTCACAGCCACATACGCTACTGCTACTGTCTATTATCTATCCTGTTGCCTTAGTCACTTTACTATATGTACATAATATATGTACATAGCTACCTCAATTACCTCGTACCCCTACACATCCACTCGGTACTGGCACTCCCTGCCTAGTTATTTTTACTTGTTATTCACTGTGTATTCATTCCTTGTGTCACTATTTCAATGTTGTTTTTGTATCTTTTATTTTTTACTCTGCATTGTTGGAAAAGGACCCCTAAGTAAGCATTTGACCGTTAGTCTATCCCTGTTGTTTACGAAGCATGTGACAAATTAAAATGTGATTGATTGATCTGAACTACTAATTCACACATCCAGCCCAAAGGGAGATTTAAAAAATACTTAGTAGTCGCCAAAGTTCCAGAGCATGTCTTTAATTGTTATGGGGAAAAAGAAAACTCTAGAACACCTTTACTCCACACACAGAGATGCGTACAAAGCTCTCCCTCACCCTCCATTTGGCAAATCTGACCATCATTTAATCCTCCTGATTCCTGCTTACAAGCAAAAACTAAAGCAGGAAGTACCAGTGACTCGCTCAATACAGAAGTGGTCGGATGACGCAGATGCTAAGCTACAGGACTGTTTTTCTAGCACAGACTGGAATATGTTCTGGGATTCTTCAGAGGGCATTGAGGAGTACACCACATGAGTAACTGGCTTCATCAATTAGTGCATCGACGACGTCGTCCCCAGAGTGACCGTACGTACATACCCCAACCAGAAGCCATGGATTACAGGCAACATCCGCACTGAGCTAAAGGGTAGTGCTGCAGCTTTCAAGGAGCGGGAATTTAACTCTGACTCTTATAAGAAATCCCGCTATGCCCTCTGACGAACCATCAAACAGGCAAAGCGTCAATACAGGACTGAGATTGAATCGTACTACACCGGCTCCGACGCTCGTCGGATGTGGCAGGGCTTGCAAACTATTACGGACTACAAAGGGAAGCACAGTGACATGAGCCTACCAGACGAGCTAAATTACTTCTATGCTCGCTTCGAGGCAAGCAACACTGAAGCATGCATGAGAGCATCAGATGTTCTGGACGACTGTGTGATCACGCTCTCCGTAGCCGATGGTAGTAAGACCTTTTAAACAGGTCAAAATTCACAAGGCCGCAGGGCCAGACGGATTACCAGGACATGTACTCAGAGCATGCGCTGACCAACTGGCAAGTGTCTTCACTGACATTTTCAACCTGTCCCTGACTGAGTCTGTAATACGAACATGTTTCAAGCAGACCACCATAGTCCCTGTGCCCAAGAACACCAATGCACCCTGCCTAAATGACTACCGACCCTTAGCACTCACGTCTGTAGCCATGAAGTGCTTTGAAAGGCTGGACATGGCTCACATCAACACCATTATCCCAGAAACCCTAGACCCACTCCAATTTGCATACCGCCCCAACAGATCCACAGATGCAATCTCTATAGCACTCCACACTGCCCTTTCCCACCTGGACAAAAGGAACACCTACGTGAGAATGCTATTAATTGACTACAGCTCAGCTTTCAACACCATAGTGCCCTCAAAGCTCATCACTAAGCTAAGGACCCTGTGACTAAACACCTCCCTCTGCAACTGGGTCCTGGACTTACTGACGGGCCACCCCCAGGTGGTAAGCGTAGGTAACAACACATCTGCCACTTTATTTATTTATTTATTTATTTATTTTTATTTCACCTTTATTTAACCAGGTAAGCCAGTTGAGAACAAGTTCTCATTTACAACTGCGACCTGGCACACTGACCCACAACACGGGGGCCCCTCAGGGGTGCGTGCTCAGTCCCCTCCTGTACTCCCTGTTCACCCATGACTGCATGGCCAAGCACGACTCCAGCACCCTCGTTAAGTTTGCCGTCGACACAACAGTGGTAGGCCTGATCACTGACAACGATGAGACAGCCTATAGGGAGGAGGTCAGAGACATGGCTGTGTGGTGCCAGGATAACAACCTCTCCCTCAACGTGATCAAGACAAAGGAGATGATTGTGGACTACAGGAGACTGAAAAGATTTGGCATGGATCCTCAAAAAGTTGTACAGCTTCACCATCAAGAGCATCCTGACTGGTTGCATCACCGCCTGGTATGGCAACTGCTCGGCCTCTGACCGCAAGGCACTACAGAGGGTAGTGCGTACGGCCCAGTACATCACTGAGGTCAAGCTTCCTGCCATCCAGGACCTCTTTACCAGGCGGTGTCAGAGGAAGGCCCTAAAAATTGTCAAATGGCATTCTTCCGCCGCCATCACCTCATGTTTCAGCATGATAATGCATGTCGCAAGGATTTGTACACAATTCCTGGAAGCTGAAAATGTCCCAGTTCTTCCATGGCCTGCATATTCACCAGAACTGTCACACATTGAGCATTTTTGGGAAGCTCTGGATCGACGTGTGTTCCAGTTCCCACCAATATCCAGCAATTTTGCACAGCCATTGCAGAGGAGTTTGACAGCATGCCACAATCAACAGCTTGATTAGCTCTATGCGAAGGAGATGATGCGCTGCATGAGGCAAATGGTGATCACACCAGATACTGACTGGTTTTCTGATCCACTCCCTTACTTTTTTTTAAAGGTACGGTATCTGTGACCTACAGATGCATATCTGTATTCCCAGTCGTGAAATCCATAGATTAGGGCTAATGAATTTATTCCTTATATGAACTGTAACTCAGTATAATCTTTGAAATTGTTGCAGGTTGCGTTTTTATTTTTGTTAAGTATATTTCTGTCCTTACCTTGAATGCAGTCTGAACAAGGAGTGACTGCAATCCACACTGGTTTTGTTAAACTAGCTACAGCAAACAATTAGCAACATTAGCATTTTTGGGATCAATTCCCTATCTAAAGCAATTGCCCACGTTTAGCATGTTTTAAATGTAATGTCCAAAATAAATCATCTAAAAATATTTTAAACCAATTAAGTGAGTTACCCAATCCATTTAAGAGGTAATTATGGCATGACATTTGATACATGCTAAACGTGACAGATTGATTTACATGAGGAATCAAAATGCTAATGTTACTAATTGTTTGCAGTGGCCAGTTTAACAAAACCAAAGTGTGGATTGCAGTCACTCCTTGTCCATAGAAAGGTTTCAAGGTAAGGAAACAAACCATCTGAAAACAGTGCATTCGGAAAGTATTCAGACCCCTTCCCTTTTTCCACATTTTGTTACATTACAGCCTTATTCTAAAATGGATATAAACAAATAATCCTCCTCAATCTACACACAATACCCCATAATGACAAAGCGAAAAGAGGTTTTGAGAAGTTTTTGCAAATGTATGAAATATAAAAAACAGATACCTTATTTACATAAGTATTCCGACCATTTAATAATAATAATATAATATGCCATTTAGCAGACACTTTTATCCAAAGCGACTTACAGTCATGTGTGCATACATTTTTACGTATGGGTGGTCCCGGGGATCGAACCCACTACCCTGGCGTTACAAGCGCCATGATCTACCAATTGAGCTACTGAACTCATTTGCTATGAGATTCGAAATTGAGCTCCGACGCGTCCTGTTTCCATTGATCATCCTTCAGATGTTTCTACAACTTGATTGGAGTCCACCTGTGGAAAATTCAATTGATTGGACATGATTTGGAAAGGCACACACCTGTCTATATAAGGTCCCACAGTTGACAGTGCATGTCAGAGCAAAAACCAAGCCTTGAGGTCGAAGGAATTGTCCGTAGAGCTCCATGACAGGATTGTGTCGAGGCACAGATCTGGGGAAGGTTACAAAACATTTCTGCAGCATTGAAGGTCCCAAAGAACACAGTGGCCTCCATCATTCTTAAATGGAAGAAGTTTGGAACCACCAAGACTCTTCCTAGAGCTGGCCGATCGGGAGAGAAGTGCCTTGGTCAGGGAGGTGACCAAGAACCCGATGGTCACTCTGACAGAGCTCCAGAGTTCCACTGTGGAGACAGGAGAAACTTCCAGAAGGACAACCATCTCTGCAGCACTCCACCAATCAGGCCTTTATGGTAGAGTGGCCAGACGGAAGTCACTCCTCAGTAAAAGACACATGACAGCCCACCTGGAGTTTGCCAAAAGGCACCTAAAGACACTCTGATCATGAGAAACAAGATTCTCTGGTCTGAAGAAACCAACATTTGAACGTCTGGAGGAAACCTGGCACCATCCCTACAGTGAAGCATGGTGTTGGCAGCATCGTGCTATGGGGATGTTTTTCAGCGGCAGGGACTGGGAGACTAGTCAGGATCGAGGCAAATATGAACGGAGCAAAGTACAGAGATCCTTGATGAATACCTGCTCCAGAGCGCTCAGGACCTCAGACTGGGACGAAGGTTCACCTTCCAAAAGGACAATGACCCTAAGCACACTGCCAAGACAACGCAGGAGTGGCTTCGGGACATGTCTCTGAATGTCCTTGAGTGGCACAGCCAGAGCCCGGACTTGAACCCGATCAAACATCCTCTGGAGAGACCTGAAAATAGCTGTGCAGCGACGCTCCCCATCTATCCTGACAGAGCTTGAGAGGATCAGAGCAGAGAAGAATGGGAGAAACTGCCCAAATACAGGTGTGCGAAGCTTGTAGACTCGAGGCTGTAATTGCTGCCAAAGGTGCTTCAACAAGGTACTGAGTAAAGGGTCTGAATACTTATATGTGTGAAATTTGTTTATTTTAACTGTTTTTGCTTTGTCATTATGGAGTATTGTGTGTAGATTGATGGGGGGGGAAAATAATTTAATCAATTTTAGAATAAGGCTTGAACGTAACATTTTGAAAAAGTCAAGGGGTCTGAATACTTTCCGAATGCACTGTATGTAAAATCGCAGAACTAGCCCTTTTAAAACCTTGAAATACTGTGTTTTGGGTCATTACCTGAATAATTTATTTAACGTATTTAACAAGTGACATGTTTATGCCAACATTGGAATTGTGCATCCGATTTTCATTCTGCAGTTTATGAAGCCAATTTGTTTTTATTAAGAAGGGATCACTGGACCCCTCTACCCTCTCCACCCATCCATTCCCCTTTCTTTTCTAGCTCGCTATCCATTAGGAACTCTGGGGGCATTCATTATGGGCTCCCATAGCCCTTATTTGGGTGACTTAAATGGGTTCACTCTTAACCCCTCCTCATCACTCATGCCTTTTAGCATGGATGTTCTGAAGCTTTTCACCTCGGGAGATCCACACTGGCTCTCCATTGGAAATGTTCCCCTCCTCTGGCTGGGAGATAAGACTCCTGCACGAAGAGACTGTCCCATCTTTTTTTCTCACACTTCCTTTCACTCACACACTCAGTCCTCTACTTACACACTGTCTCGCAAGTGTGAACTAACATGTTCACTTTCCTTGCCTTTTACATTGGCTCTGTGTCACTTATGTAAAACAACATGCGTGTGTTTACCTTCTGCACGGTACGGCAAACCTTTCCACGTACCGTTACCCATGGTACTCTTCTTCACTGCCAGCCATTCGGCCATGTGAATACTCAAATGCCTCTCTCTCAAAACTCTGTTCTCGTATTGACTTTATTTTTGCACTGTCTATATGCTCACTCACAGGGCCCTACACTCTCTCTCTCTCTCTCACTCACACACCCACTCACATACAAGCTGCTTCTATTCTGTTTCTTATATCCTTTTGCGTAGTCACCTTACCCCTATACATATCTACCTCCATCACTCCAGTTTCGCTGCACATTGTAAATATGGTATTGGAACTGACCCTGTATATAGTATGCTTGCTTACTTATTGTGTTCTTCATATTTCTTATTTCTCATGTTTTTTTTCTTCTAGTGTTACATTGTTATTGTATTGTTGGGTTTTGAGTTAGCAAGACAGACGTTTCACTGTACTTGTGCATTAAAACGTCAAACTTGAAACTGAAACATGTCTCTCCACCACCGACATTGTCCGGACGGAGTTGTTTTCCCTTTTGGCAAGGCCCAGGTTGGAGTTTGAAGGCCTCCCTCACCTCCCCCCTCCTCATCTCCACTCCACTAACTCCCCTCAACCCCCTGCCCCAGTAAATCTGCCACAGTTCCTGTCTGTTCAGTGTAGGCCTGCACATTTCTTAATAGAGATGCTCAGAAGTCAAGGAGCCCGGAGGAGCTCAATGCGCTTCTGTTTTTGGTTTAGTTCAGAAATGTTTTTCCTGGCTGGGCCCACCAGTACTTAGGTCCTCCTACAACAAACGAAAAGGTCCTAACGGTCCCCCAGGGGACGGTTTAGCCACAATGGACATGTGGTGGAACAAAAGCCCAGTCCTTCACCCCCCCCCCTCCCCCCTCCACTCACGAGATATAGGTGATGCACATGTCAGCAATGTGTGTAGCGCTGTGGGGAGGGTGATCGCAGGTTCGACGCTGTAAAACATTTTATATATACAGTATATAGATCCCGGTAAGGTATGGTGCACGGTCAGGTAAAGATGTGAAATGTTTACAGTATACATCCAGCCTTTCCTTTCCTTTCTTTTTTTTCTTAAAGGTAAAGGAATCGAATAGGATGTTGATTGTATCGAATCCAAAGCACGACCTCATTAGCTAAAGCAGCAGGCCTGCTTGGCTCTAATAAAGTCTCTGTGTGATAATTAACAATGACTGTATTATCATTATTATTACAGTGTTAGGTAATGAATGGGAAGGTTTAGCACTTTGTTGCTTATAAGCCAGCCAGGCACCCAATAGAAAAATGGCGTCCATTGCGAACATGTCCTTACACTAATCTCTCCTGCTCCATCCCGAGCCTGCGGTAACACAGAAAGTCCTCCATTAATTTTGCACCCCCCCCCCACATTCTGAAATTGCATTTTTGTCCCCTCAAGTTTTATCATTGGAATGTGATACAAAACGAGGGAACGGTGTGCTTTAGGACAATGCGAACGCCTCCGAGCGGTCAGGTAGGCTGTTTGGAGCGTTTTATCCGACTGGATAAAAAAATATATATATATACATACATACATACATACATACAGTTGAAATCGGAAGTTTACATACACCTTAGCCAAATACATTTAAACTCAGTTTTTCACAATTCCTGACAATTAATCCTAGTAAAAAATTCCCTGTCTTAGGTCAGTTAGGATCACCACATTATTTTAAGAATGTGAAATGTCAGAATAATAGTAGAGAGTGATTTATTTAAGCTTTTGGTAGCATTGCCTTTAAATTGTTTAACTTAGGTAAAACGTTTCGGGTAGCCTTCCACAAGCCTCCCACAATAAGTTGGCTGAATTTTGGCCCATTCCTCCTGACAGAGCTGGTGTAACTGAGTCAGGTTTGTAGGCCTCCTTGCTCGCACATGCTTTTTCAGTAGGATTGCGGTCCGTGCTTTGTGATGGCCACTCCAATACCTTGACTTTGTTGTCCTTAAGCCATTTTGCCACAACTTTGGAAGTATGCTTGGGGTCATTGTCCATTTGGAAGACCCATTTGCGACCAAGCTTTAACTTCCTGACTGATGTCTTGAGATATTGCTTCAATATATCCACATAATTTTCCTTCCTCATGATGCTATCTATTTTGTGAAGTGCACCAGTCCCTCCTGCAGCAAAGCACCCCCACAGCATGATGCTGCCACCCCCGTGCTTCACGGTTGGGATGGTGTTCTTCGGCTTGCAAGTTCCCCCTTTTTCCTCCAAACATAACGATGGTCATTATGGCCAAACAGTTCTATTTTTGTTTCATCAGACCAGAGGACAATCTTTGTCCCCATGTGCAGTAGCAATCCGTAGTCTGGCTTTTTTATGGCGGTTTTGGAGCAGTGGCTTCCTCCTTGCTGAGCGGTCTTTCAGGTTATGTCGATATAGGACTCGTTTTACTGTGGATATAGATACTTTTGTACCTGTTTCCTCCAGCATCTTCACAAGGTCCTTTTCTGTTGTTCTGGGATTGATTTTCACTTTTCGCACCAAAGTACGTTAATCTCTAGAAGACAGAACTCGTCTCCTTCCTGAGCAGTATGACGGCTGCGTGGTCCCATGGTGTTTATACTTGCGTACTATTGTTTGTACAGATGATTGTGGTATCTTCAGGCGTTTGGAAATTGCTCCCAAGGATGAACCAGACTTGTGGAGGTCTACAATTTTTTTTCTGAGGTCTTGGCTGATTTCTTTTGATTTTCCCATGATGTCAAGCAAAGAGGTACTGAGTTTGAAGGTAGGCCTTGAAATACATCCACAAGTACACCTCCAATTGACTCAAATGATGTCAATTAGCCTATCAGAAGCTTCTAAAGCCATGACATTTTCCAAGCTGTTTAAAGGCACAGTCAACTTGTAAACTTCTGACCCACTGGAATTGTGATACAGTGAATAATATGTGAAATAATCTGTCTGTAAACAATTGTTGGAAAATTACTTGTGTAATGCATAAAGTAGATGTCCTAACCGACTTGCCAAAACGATAGTTTGTTAACAAGAAATTTGTGGAGTGGTTCAACTGTACATACAGTGAGGGACAAAAGTATTGGATCCCATGCTGATTTTGTACGTTTGCCCACTGACAAAGACATGATCAGTCTATCATTTTAATGGTAGGTTCATTTGAACAGTGAGAGACAGAATAACAACAAAACAATCCAGAAAAAAAGCATGTCAAAAATGTTATGAATTGATTTGTATTTTAATGAGGGAAATAAGTATTTGACCCCTCTGCAAAACATGACTTAGTACTTGGTGGCAAAACCCTTGTTGGCAATCACAGAGGTCAGACGTTTCTTGTAGTTGGCCACCAGGTTTGCACACATCTCAGGAGGGATTTTGTTCCACTCCTCTTTGCAGGTCTTCTCCAAGTCATTAAGGTTTCAAGGCTGACGTTTGGCAACTCAAACCTTCAGCTCCCTCCACAGATTTTCTATGGGATTAAGGTCTATGGGATTACTTGGTCGCAAATGGGTCTTCCAAATGGTCAATGACCCCAAGCATTCTTCCAAAGTTGTGGCAAAATGGCTTAAGGACAACAAAGTCAAGGTATTGGAGTGGCAAACACAAAGCACGGACCTCAATCCTATAGAAAATTTGTGGGCAGAACTGAAAAAGCGTGTGCGAGCAAGGAGGCCTACAAACCTGACTCAGTTAAACCAGCTCTGTCAGGAGGAATGGGCCAAAATTCACCCAACTTATTGTGGGAAGCTTGTGGAAGGCTACCCAAAACGTTTGACCCAAGTTAAACAATTTAAAGTTAATGCTACCAAATACTAATTGAGTGTATGTAAACTTCTGACCCACTGGGAATGTGATGAAAGAAATAAAAGCTTAAATAAATCATTCTCTCTACTATTCTGACATTTCACATTCTTAAAATAAAGTGGTGATCCTAACTGACCTAAGACAGATAATTTTTACTAGGATTAAATGTCAGGAATTGTGAAAAACTGAGTTTAAATGTATTTGGCTAAGATGTAAACTTCTGACTTCAACTGTGTGTGTATAAATACACTACCGTTCAAAGGTTTGGGGTCACTTAGAAATGTCCTTGTTTTCCATGAAAACATACATTAAATTAGTTTGAATAGGAAAGATAGCAAAATGAATAGGACATTTAGTCATTGACAAGGTTAGGTAATTTAAATAATAATTATGTCCTTCAAAATTTGCTTTCGTCAAAGAATCCTCCATTTGCAGAAATTACAGCCTTGCAGACCTTTGGCATTCTAGTTGTCAATTTGTTGAGGTAATCTGAAGAGATTTCACCCCATGCTTCCTGAAGCACCTCCCACAAGTTGGATTGGCTTGATGGGCTCTTCTTACGTACCATACGGTCAAGCTGCTCCCACAACAGCTCAATAGGGTTGAGATCCGGTGACTGTCCTGGCCAGTCCATTATAGACAGAATACCAGCTGACTGCTTCTTCCCTAAATAGTTATTGCATAGTTTGGAGTTGTGCTTTGGGTCATTGTCCTGTTGTAGGAGAAAATTGGCTCCAATCAAGCGCCGTCCACAGGGTATGGCATGGCATTGCAAAATGGAGTGATACCCTTCCTTCTTCAAGATCCCTTTTTTTCCAATCTTCCTCTGTCCAGTGTCTGTGTTCTTTTGCCCATCATAATATTATATTTTTATTGGCTAGTCTGAGATATGGCTTTTTCTTTGCAACTCTGCCTGGAAGGTCAGCATCCCGGAGTTGCCTCTTCACTGTTGACGTTGAGACTGGTGTTTTGCGGGTACTATTTAATGAAGCTGCCAGTTGAGGACCTGTGAGGCGCCTGTGTCTCAAACTAGACACTCTAATGTAATGGTCCTCTTGCTCAGTTGTGCACTGTGGCCTCCCACTCCTCTTTCTATTCTGGTTAGAGCCAGTTTGTGCTGTTTTGTGAAGGGAGTAGTACACAGAGTTGTACGAGATCTTCAGTTTCTTGACAATTTCTCGCATGGAATAGCCTTCATTTCTCAGAACAAGAATAGACTGACGAGTTTCAGAAGAAAGTTCTTTGTTTCTGGCCATTTTGAGCCTGTAATCGAACACACAATTGCTGATGCTCCAGATACTCAACTAGTCTCAAGAAGGCCAGTTTTATTGCTTCTTTAATCAGCACAACAGTTTTCAGCTGTGCTAACATAATTGCAAAAGGGTTTTCTAATGATCAATTAGCCTTTTAAAATGATAAACTTGGATTAGCAAATACAACGTGCCATTGGAACACAGGACTGATGGTTGCTGATAATGGGCCTCTGTACGCCTATGTAGATATTCCATTAAAAATCAGCCGTTTCCAGCTACAATAGCCATTTACAACATTAACAATGTCTACACTGTATTTCGGATCAATTTGATGTTTCTCCGTGTATATCAATGATGTCGCTCTTGCTGCTGGTGACTCTCAGATCCACCTTTACGCAGACGACACCATTTTGTATACATCTGGCCCTTCATTGGACACTGTGTTAACAAACCTCCAAACGAGCTTCAATGCCATACAACACTCCTTCAGTAGCCTCCAACTGCTCTTAAACACTAGTAAAACTAAATGCATGCTCTTCAATCGAACGCTGCTGGCACCCGCCCACCCGACTAGAATCACTACTCTCGACGGGTCTGACCTAGAGTATGTGGACAACTACAAATACCTAAGTGTCTGGTTAGACTGTAAACTCTCCTTCCAGACTCACATTAATAATCTCCAATCCAAAGTTAAATCTAGAATCGGCTTCCTATTTCGCAACAAAGCCTCCTTCACTAATGCTGCCAAACATGCCCTCGTAAAACTGACTATCCTACCGATCCTTGACTTCGGCGATGTCATTTACAAAATAGCCTCCAACACTCTACTCAGCAAATTGGATGTAGTCTATCACAGTGCCATCCGTTTTGTCTCCAAAGCCCCATACACTACCCACCACTGTGACCTGTACGCTCTTGTTGGCTGGTCCTCACTACATGTTCGTCGTCAAACCCACTGGCTCCAGGCCATCTATAAATCACTTCTAGGCAAATCCCCGCCTTATCTTAGCTCATTGGTCACCATAGCAGCACCCACCCGTAGTCTGCGCTCCAGCAGGTATAT